TTTGAGGAATATTGTATGTACCTGTATATGTTGTAATCCAGCTGTTTTTTTTCATCTAAAATTATGACCTATTTTTTCATAGGATCCGCAGAGAAACTTTTTATATGTTACAGCACAAAGCTAACTCTTCACTTCCCGTTATTTGGAGCCATCTTTATTTAACCTCGAAGGAACCTGTGATTTAGGGCAAAAAGAATCCGGACAGTGAGGTCGCCGCTCTCCTCGACTTCCTCAGAGAAATATGATCTTATTAAACAACCCAGCGTTACATTTTCATAATTCAGCTATCGGTGACACCATAAACCCACACTTTACTCCCGGCTCCATGCAGATGAGCGTGGGCGTTATAATGGCGCTGAATTAAGGAGGATTTTTTACTACCTCGACCTTGCGAGAAGCATTACAGGCAGCCACGGGCCAAAGAGATTACATTTAGTTTATAGAGCCCCTCCCACTTCTCGCCCAACGACCAAATTCATACGATGCTTTTAATGAACTGCGGTCTCCGAGGGGAATCTGCCAAACCAGCTCTGACGGTCAGTGTGCGCAGAGCGGAGAGACGACGACGGTGTTAAAAAGTGTTTGAAAAGAGCTTGAAGGGGACAGGAGTGTGCAATGACAAAACAATAAGAAAATGTACCTTTGCTTTATGGGTTTTGGTTATTTACGGCTTATGGACCAATACTAATGCGCTTTTCTATCATTGTTGTTCTTGTGTTTGAACTGTTTGGTTCTCTGATCTGTGTTCGCAAATTCAATGAACATAAATAATACATAATAATATATTGATTTGAATTGTCATGTTTTAAAAAGAAAGGCCAGTACATATTAATCAGTCTGTCTGCAAACAGCGTCTACAGTAAATATCCGGGATTGTTCCAAGGTGAGGCAGGTAAGAAACAAGCAATCATACATTTAGGTAAAAGTACAAATAAAAAGTCAATAAGCACATCATAAAGAGTTTAAAAGAGAAGAGAAAGTCCAAGGAAGAGCAGATCTTCATCAATGGGAGCAGGACTGGTTTGATTTTAACCAATGTTTAAGATAAATGAAACTATATTGATCTCACGATGGAGAAATTTACAGGACTGCTTTAAATGTTGGGACTTGCCTCAGTTGGACGCCACCATTTGGCTGAATTTAGTCATGCACCTTTGTCCATTACAGTCTCCCCCGCTCTGTCATCTTATGTGGCCCTTGAGGGACTCTCCCGGTGTCATCCAGCCAACTTCAGCTCCACCAATGTAGTCACGCTCCACCTTGTTGTCAATCTCAGACACTTCGTAATCCAGATGTTATCAATATGGACACGTCATGCTCCATTTCAAAAAGCCCAGAAAAGCCCGAATCAAAGTCAAAACAGCTTTAACATCTGGGTTCGTCCTCTATCCAGAAAAAAGTATTCTCCTGAGTTAGATTCCACCTCCGGGCCTTTCTGTGTGGAGTTGGCATTTGCTTAGGTTTCCTCTGGGTGCTCCTTTTTCTCTTACCGCTAAAAACTCGGTGGCTTTGATTGTCCAGTGTGTTCGGCGTCTCGCTTCTATCATCACCGTTTGTGGAAAAATATCTGAACTCTGAGCATTGTAAAGCATTATGGGTGACCTTGGTCTGTAAAATGCACTACATAAACACACATTATTTACCTAATATGTATGTGTTATGATTTCATTTCCTGTGTAAAGTTAGTAAAGTTTTCCAGACGATTGCAAGTTTGATTTACAGTTGAATTGTTACGCTGTTGTTTTATAAGTAAGTAAATAATGTTGATTTATGTAGCACGTATTTTACAGACCAAGGTCTCCCAAAGCGTTTTACAATGTTCAGAGTTCAGAGAGTTATTATTATTATTATTTTTGTTTTAATCTATGAACCAGTTCTATCTGTGTTCTTAATAAAGAATGAATTGAATTATTCCATTCTCTCCACACGGTGATGACTGTAGCGAGGACACACTGGAGCATCAAAGCTTCCGAGCAAACACCATCCATCCACTCTCTCATTTACATTCTTACCCATTTTGTATGTTTTTTTAGTGGTAGGAGAAACCGGAGCACCCGGAGGAAACCTACACAGACATGGGGAGAACATGCAAACTCCACTCAGGACGGCCCTGTTCCGACCGGGATTCGAACCCAGGACCTTCTTGCGGAGAAGCAAAAGTGCTATCCACTCAAGCACTGTGCTGCCCATGAATAAGCAGAAGCCTCTAGATCAGGGGTCTCCAACCTTTTTTCCTTGGAGAGCTACTGTTTTCGGAACAACACGGGCAGAGAGCTACTCCATTTAGACAATGGACAAACTGCTGCGCTACAACGGAGTCGATTTTTATTTTGGTTTGAAAACATTCTTAAAACAACGAAACAAAAGCTTTAGTCTTGTTTTGAGCACAGGGACCGTCAATATATTCTCTCAATTCAGTCCAACTTGGGCCATTTCTAACTTTAGTCTGTGGCATTTTTTGTTCCGTTGTGTTATACCATCAAAGAATGTGTCAATCATTTCAATATTGATCCTTTGGGGAGCTACTTTGAAGAGGGTGGCGAGCTACTGGTAGCTTCTGAGCTATAGGTTGGAGACCTGTTCTATAGAGCGATGTGGTGTTGCTATATCTGTGTTCTTTGTTGGGTATGTTGGAGTTGTTTGGGGCGTTTCTGCACACAAGCACACATTGTTTTTTGCCCTGGTGAAGGATTCTTTTACAGAATTGACCTTTTAGAGTGCCCCAGTCGTTTGTGTATTCATTTTGTACGAACACGCCGTTGTTATGATCCCATTCTGACATGCCCAGAACAACACACAGGTCAGAACGAGCTAACAATAGTGACAACAAGACAGAAATGTTGTGGCAAGTAGTCGTTCAACCTGGAACTTTTCAAGAGGGAGAAGATTCTTGATTATGGACGGATCTAAAAGAGTTGTGCAAATGTTTACCTGTGTTTTCCATCGGAGACGGGGTGGCCATAAATAAACTATGGCCAATAAATGAGTTAAACAAAGGAGAAAGTATCCTATGTTACTGTCGAAGCCAAATTGCAATGTAGCAAAGCACACATTTCAAAGTAAATGTTGAGACTCCTTCAAAAGTGTATCTTATTATGAGCACATTCTGACAGAGCCTTAAAACTAGATTTGCCGATGGGACACAGAAAAATCTTGTATTTTAAAAAATACAAGAAAACTAAAGTAGCAGTTCTTGAAATTAGACTAAATGGCTTTGTACCCTCGAAGAATCATTATCACCGTCATAATGTGCTCAAATTAAGATAAAAACCACTTGATTTCAGACATTTTTTGCCTCATATAATATCATTTTTTGCAGTGTGTTTGAAAGATGAAACACCCAGCCATAGATTGTTATGAAGGATAGCACAAAGACTGTTATTGTCTGTTATTATAAAAATAACAGGGTCGGGCTGTCATGGAGATGACTCAAATGTGCAGATCATGCAAGGCGGCCCTGGAATTGGCGGGAAGTGGGGGCTTTGAGCCAAGAACAATAGATAGCTTTACTCTCAGAGAGGAATAAGAACCTCATTTTCATTAAAGAAAACACATACATTTGGATTTAAAAGGCTTCACACAATCACTAAGAATGAGTGAAAGAAAAAGTGTTGCTGTAGCTGTACTGTCCTCGTTCTACAGTCTGAGTCCTGGATCCAAGGCCTGTGCGTCTGTGGGAGTCTAAATATGGGCCTCTCGGTAAGTAGTCAGCTCTTACTTACTTTTACTTACAGTACTTCTGTTTTTTTCCATTGTGTTTTTAGAGTCGTTCCTAGCTGAGGCAGGAGGGTCTAAGGACAGTGATTATCTGGAACTTTTAAAAACATTTATGAACATTGGTCATAAATCGCTTCCTGGTTGGAGTGGAGTTTGCATGTTCTCTCCGTACCTGCATAAGTTTCCTCTGGCTTCCCCTACCACTAAAAATATGTACGTTAGGTCAAATTCTCCAGCTAGCCTCCGGTAGTCTGCAGATGGTTCCCGGGTGCTGTGCTGCTGTGACCCCTGCTCCTGAGAGACGCCCTGGTGGCATCAGGGTCTGGGTCAAATGCAGAGGATCAACTGCATCACGGGGATAAACAAAGTGCTCATTTACCTGCTCCCTATAGACCAATGGCTGCAATATTCCCTTTCTGATCAGTTAGGGTTAGGGTTAGTGTGGGTTAGGGTTAGTGTGGGTTAGTGTGGGTTAGGGTTAGTGTGGGTTAGGGTTAGTGTGGGTCAGGGTTAGTGTGGGTTAGTGTGGGTTAGGGTTAGTGTGGGATAGTGTGGGTCAGGGTTAGTGTGGGTTAGGGCTAGTGTGGGATAGTGTGGGTTAGGGTTAGTGTGGGTCAGGGTTAATGTGGTTTAGGGTTAGTGTGGGTTAGTGTGGGTTAGGGTTAGTGTCGGTTAGTGTGGGTTAGTGTAGGATAGTGTGGGTTAGGGTTAGTGTGGGATAGTGTGGGTTAGGGTTAGTGTGGGTTAGTCTGGGTTAGGGTTAGTGTGGGTAAGTGTAAGTTAGGGTTAGTGTGGGTCAGGGTCAGTGTGGGTTAGGGTCAGTGTGGGTTAGGGTTAGTGTGGGTTATGGTCAGTGTGGGTTAGGGTTAGTGTGGGTTATGGTTAGTGTGGGTTAGGGTTAGTGTGGGTTATGGTTAGTGAGGGTTAGGGTAAGCGTGGGTTAGTTTTAGGGGTAGTATGGGTTAAGGTTAGTGCGGGTTAGGGTAAGCGTGGGTTAGTATGGGTTAAGGTTAGTGCGGGTTAGGGTAAGCGTGGGTTAGTTTTAGGGGTAGTATGGGTTAAGGTTAGTGCGGGTTAGGGTAAGTGTGGGTTAGTTTTAGGGTTAGTATGGGTTAAGGTTAGTGCGGGTTAGGGTTTGTCTGGGCTAGTGTGGGTTAGTCTGGGTTAGGGTTTGGTTGTCAGTGAATCAGTACATTTCCAAAGTCCTCCAAGACGCCTGCTGTTGAAATGTAGTTCCACACAAACACACATTGAAACGGAATGGAAGTGTAAGTGTGGCTCACCGAGGAGGATGACGATGCAGAGCAGGATGGCGATGAGGGCGCCGGTGCTGAGTCCCACCGGGAGGAAGACGGCCTCGGCGCTGCAGCTGAGCACGGAGCCGTCGGCGCCGCAGCCGCACACCCGGATGCTCAGGGTCCCCGTGCTGCTCTTGGGGGGGTACCCGTTGTCCTCGATCACCACCGGCAGCACGTACAGCTCCTGCAGACGCCGCCGGAAGCCCCCGCGCTTGGTGACGATGCCCGCCGTGTTGTCTGCGCCAAGAGGAACACACGGTTAGGGATGGGAGCCACGTGGTCGAGAAATCAAGCCATGGCAGCCGCTTCCATCGAGGTATGTGAGAGTCAAGCAGAAGATTAATGTGAAGCTAGGATTTTAGAATTATCCTAGCTTTGGGCGGCACGGTGGCTGAGTGGTTAGCACTCTCGCCTCTCAGCAAGAAGGTTCTGGGTTCAAATCCCGGTCGGACCAGGGCCTTTCTGAGTGGAGTTTGCATGTTCTCCCTGTGTCTGCGTAGGTTTCCTCCAGTTACTCCGGTTTCCCCTACCACTAAAAATATGTCCAATAGTTCTGACATGCGCCTCCTGTACTGGCCCCGCTCCCATCTCTGTGTGGAGTGAGAGACAAATGCCCAAAATTAACAATTGTAAACCGCTTTGAGACTCAGATCTGCAGTGAAAAGGCGGTATATAAATAAAGATTACTTACTTACTTACTAATTATACTACACTGCCAAAATATGAGGTTATTTTGCTTGAATCAACTTGTTTTTGTCTGAATTTGAGCACTTTGAGACTGTGTTACTGATGGGACAAAAACATTTAGCCTTATTTCAAGATCTGTTGCCTTATTTTCTCATTCCAAAGGAGACATTTTGCATCTTTCTTAAAACACAATATTTTTTTTCTTTTTCCCATTGGTGAATCTTGTTTTAAGGCAGTGAAAATGTGCTAAAAAGAGATACATTTTGCCCAATTCAAGCAATTTTTGACTTATTTTTGTATCATTTTCGAAGTGTCAGATTTGTGTGCCTGCCTTTACACTGCAAAAGCTGATGACAAATAAGTCAGTAATTTATTCAACCAAGTTCCACTCCAGTCCCTCACACATCATTGAAGCTTGAATATAATGCATTCCATGTTTTTATAATGCTGTTTGGATGTTTTTAGGCCTGCAGCCAGTGGATTAAACTTTTATTCTGAGAGCCAAAGTGGTGTAATCATCCAGACGTGATACACGTGTTTAATTTAAACATGTTTAAACTTATTTTCAGGGTTCTACACAGCAAAATGTGATGAAAACTAAGTAGAAAATGGCTGAAAAAGATACAAGAAATGTCTTCCTTGGAATGAGAAAATAAACCAACTGTTATTTTTGCCTATCTGACACCTTTAAAAAAACAGGATTTAACATGCTATAATTTTCTGGTTTTAAACAATATTATTAACAGTTGCCATTTGAGTCTATCTATTTCTAACATATGTTTCTCTGACCTCTGTCACGGCTTTTCCAGACAGAGAAGTAAAAAAATAGGACCCCCCGCACTCAGCCAATCAGTAGAATCCTTATGTTATGCCAACAATGGGCATAAAGTCGACATTGAAAAGACGGCGGTAAAACGGCTTAAAACTCTGTGAATACAGAGATTAAAGTAACGGCTAAAAAGACTCCGCGATAAAAGAACCAAGGAAAGTTTTCTTGGTTTGATCTGACCAGGATTCAAAGTATGTGGACCAAAAGAGCTGAGCAAAAACACATCAATCAGGAATACTTCTGAAAGCAAAAAGTCTCACACTATAAAGCGAAAGTTGTTCAAAAGCCTCTTCATGTTGGAAAGAAACCAGGTCCAGACATTAAAATGATACTTGGGCTTTAGCATTAGCCACTTTAGCATAATCATCCCAATAACATGGGCACTTTGAAGTTTTCTCTGCACTTTAGAACGCACACTGCAAAAAAGTGACTAAATATAAGTCATAAAGAAGAAGAAGGTCCTTTATTTGTCCCACAACGGGGAGATTTCAGTTACACATATACTGTACATGTGTATACACTGAATACTAAACAGTATACAGTACACTGCACACATCAAGGCCAGCAGCGAACATCACTTCCACGCTCCTTATAAGCATAGTGGGTTAAGTGTCTTGCCCAAGGACACAACGACAGCAGACATCAGTGGGAGTTGGTGGAGAAGGTCTCATGGTGGGCTCGAACCCACAACCTTTGCGCCACATGGTACTTTAACAGTGAGATTAGCTTAACACGGTGAGTTCTGGCGCCCGGATCAAAGACTTTGATAAAACGGTGGAGGGCGGGACAAGATTTAGGGGCCGTAAAACTGATTTTGAAATCCAAATATCTCTGAACTACTGTCATCAGTTAAAGATGTCTTTGAAAAGAGCATGATTTATTAAAGCCTTTTGGCAGATTAAGGGCCCTTTAAAGATGACTTGACATTAGTATCTTGATGTAAAGTCGTTAGTATCTTAAATTTAAATACTACATATTAAAAACATGCTGTACTGTGATTGGTCCAGTCCGATGGGTCTGAGAAGTTACTTACTCCCAAAGTCGCGCACGGTGAAGTTCTTGTTCTTGCCGTCTTCTTTCACGGCTTTGAAGGAGAACTGTTGTCCGGCCGAGGGGAGGTCCTGGTCTTTGGCGCTGAACAACTGGATCACCTGGAAACAAACATTCACACTTTGACTTATGAACGCTGCAAACGTGTCACGTACGAGTTTATATGACGTCCTTTTCAAATATGTGCCTTGTCAGAGTCAGAGATTTTGTACTTCATTATTCTTCTTCGTTATGCTAAAGTTAAGATTATACATTGCTTCCTTATTACGCTAAAGCTAGAGGTTTTTCTACATGTTTTTTTTATTTAGTGGAGATCTTAGCTTAGAGTATACTGTAGAGCTGTAGAGTAGACTACTGTAACTGGTGATGCAACACTGACATTTCCCCAACTGTGAGATCAATAAACGATCCCTGAATCTTGATTTGAAAGTAACGCGCAATAAAAACTCGAATCTCGGCTTAGGGTAAGTGCAATAATGACTGCTCTTTAGGCGTAGGGTAGGTGCAATAATGACTGCTCTTTAAGCTGCATTGGAATCATGGCTGATAATACACGACAGCGTAAGGTAAAAGAAACTGAATCCGACAATGCCAACGCTGCGCTCCTCAATGAGATGAGGTCTCTGGGAGCAAAAATGGACAATCTACAAGCCACTCTGGAGGAACAAATAAACATTAAATTTGACACTCTGAATAAACGCTTGGAGACGCTCATTGCCGAAAGTCAAGCAAAAATAAAGCAAGAGCTGGAAACAGCCGCAGCTAAAATGCGAGCTGATTTGGACACGGAGGTGGGGATATTGTGCGCTAGAATTGAGAATATAGAGTCCAAATTAGTAAATACAAGGGCGCTGAATTTTGAGCCGAGTGTGTCCGTAGTCATCGTGGGCCTACAGCAGGAAGAAAATGAGGACTTAATGTCCAAGGTCTTGAATGTGCTGCGGGAAGGCCTTGGATGTGACCCAGTCCCCACCCCGGCTGCCGTGGAGCGCGTCCGGGCGCGTGGCTCCAAACCCGGCCTGGTGAAGGTGCAGCTGTCATCAGTGGAGGAGAAAGTGGCCGTGCTAAGACGCAAAGCTAAGCTTAAGGATGACGAGCGTTTTCAACGAGTTTATGTTTCGTCAGCCAAATCTCATGCAGAAAGGCTTGTGGACATCAACTTCAGAACCCTTCTGAGAGAAACTGCAGTCGGAGAAGACTTTTATTTAACCGCAAATGGACGTATGATCAAGCGTACCGGAGTACAGCCACGGCATGGACCTGAATGAAACTATTGTGCCCAGCCCGTAAGTACTGACTTTTTGCTGGTTCAATGGAACATTAACGGGTGGACGTCTACTAACTGTGGCTTGAGGCAATCGGCCCTTTATTATTTGAACCCAGATTTTGTTTGTTTGAACGAGACGCATCTGTCTATTGAGACGATTGAGTTGTGTGGATACACTTGGTTTGGACACAATCGCGTTACGCAAAGAAATGCTGTAAAAGCTTCAGGAGGTGTGGGGATATTTGTGCGTAATTTAGTCTTTGATTCATTTTGTGTTAAAATTATAGATAAGTCCTTAGATGATATTCTTTGTTTATTGTGTGAAAACTGCACTTCGCAATATTCTTTCGCTATTGTTTCATGTTATCTTTCTCCTGAAATGTCAACGTGGGGTAGAAATGCAGATTTATTTTTTGGACATTTACTGTCATTATTATACAGACTCGACGTTGACACAGTATATATTTGTGGCAACTTTAACGCCCGTATTGCTGATCTGAGAGATTATATTGAGACTGATGACATTTCTCCTAGAGTGGCATTAGATCTGAACTCAAATAAACATGGTGAAGCATTCCTTGAGTTTTTAAAAGACTCCAAATGCTGTGTCCTTTCACGGCAGACTCCAGCCCCTCACAGATAATTTTACATCTAGATCAGTGAGAGGACGCGCTGTTGTAGATTATATTGTAACGCCACAGACGAACATACAGTCATGCCTTGAGTTTAATGTTTTTACATCCTCTGAGCTGGTGGATGCGATTGGCCCCGATGCCTTGCATCTCATTGGGCCCCATTGCCGTGTTCCTGATCACTCTGCCTTGTGTCTTAAATTTCGTGTTGGAGAGTTTCACTATATGTTGCCAAATAATGAAAATGATTCAAGACCAGTGAAGACAAGAATTCAGAGACATTACACTACAGATTTTCTATCTTCAAATTACTGTAAGAATGTCCTGAAGAATATTCAAACTCTAACGGAACAAAACACTCATGATAGTTTGGACAATATGTATGTATCACTTTGTGAGATGCTCTACAAGGAAATGGGAGGAGCTCTTAGAGGGGGTGCAGTAGGGGGCAGCGTCATAGGCCTAAACAATACTTTAAAACAAACCAACCTTACTGGAACCAAGAGCTACATGCTCTATGGGTGAAGGTGAGATCAACAGAGAAACAATATCTTAAGTGTAAGGATTCAAACGAAAGAAAACTATTAAAAACAGTTTTTAAAAAGCATCAAAACTATTTTGATAAGAGATTAAAATTATTCCAAAGACGGCTTAGAAGAGGACAAAGCCTTCAGCTCCAAAGTTTGAAATCAAACTCTAAATGTTTCTGGAAGGAAATTAATAAATTAGGCCCTCAGAAAATTAAATCCATCCCAATGGAGATTATTACCTAATTATTATTATTATTACTATTATTATCTAATGAAGAGGTGAGCTATGATAAAGAATTCATATTATCAAGATGGCAACAAGATTATAGCGCCCTCTATGGTTGTGAAAAAACATTATTTGATGAGGATTTTTTCAAAGAAATCTGTTACATAAAAACCTGTCTAGAAGTTGAGATGGTGTGTGTTGAATTTAGTCAAAGTGATGTGCTAAATGCTGACATCACAGTGGAAGAAGTTCAAAGAGTCATAGGTTCATTAAAAGCCCAGAAAGCAGTTGGTGTTGATGAGATCCCAAACGAGGCTCTGAAGGCTCCACCTCTGCTCAATGTGCTGCACAGTCTCTTCCAAGCTTGTTTTAAACAGGCAGCCATTCCTTCAGCCTGGTATCAGTCAATTATTAAACCTATAACTAAATCAGCTAAACTGGATCCTCGAGTGCCCCTGAACTATAGAGGCATCAGTCTGATAAGCACTGTGTATAAATTGTACTCGGGAATCCTCAACAATAGACTCAATGACTTTCTGGAGATGAATGAGACCCTGGCAGATGAACAGAATGGCTTTCGAAAAGGCAGGGCCTGCATTGACCATATGTTTGTTTTATCATCTGTGCTGAGAGCCAGGCTGCAAGAAGGAAAATCTACGTTTGCCTGCTTCATTGATTTCCAAAAAGCATTTGATTGGGTTAACAGGGATCTTCTGTGGTATAAACTGCTGGGATATGGCATTAAGGGGAGGTTTTATGACGCCATCAAGTCCCTCTACCAGGCCCCTGTTGCCTGTGTGCAAATAAACAATCTAAGAACGGGTTGGTTTCCCACCCCTTTTGGAGTGAAACAGGGCGATGTGTTATCACTAACTTTATTTTCTTTGTACATAAACGACCTGGTGAACGAAATTAAAGGAGCCAACCTTGGTATTTGTATTGATGACTTCAACTTAAGTCTCCTGTTGTATGCAGATGACATTATTTTGCTGGCAGAGACTGAAGACAAATTACAGCAGATGTTAGATGTTTTAAGTGCATGGTGTAGAAAATGGAGACTGGCCCTAAACAAAGATAAAACACAAATTATGCATTTCCGGAAAAAGAATCAGTCACAAAGTGCATATTCCTTCCTTTATGACCTTTCTCCATTAACCTACACATGTTCATATAAGTACCTCGGGTTGGTCTTCAATGAGTTCATGGTTTTTACAGAGGGAACCCAGTCTCTGTGTGAGTCTGCAGGGAGAGCTCTGGGCTCCATTGTGAGTAAAATGAAAACTGTCCCAGACTTAAGTTTCTCTGTTTATGCACAACTGTATGACTCTTTGGTCAGCTCTATTCTATTCTATGCAGCGGGAGTTTGGGGTTTCAAGGAGATTGATCACGTTAATGCTCTCCAGAATAGAGCTATTAGAACATTTTTGGGAGTGCATAAATTCACCCCAATACCAGCGATACAGGGGGACATGGGATGGGAGCCGTGTCTTATTAAGCAAAGGGCTGAAATGGTGCGTTTATGGAACCGCCTCATCCAGCTGCCCAATCACAGGCTCACAAAAAAGATTTTTATTTGGAATTGTTCAAACAATTACCCCTGGTCTAGAGAAATGGCAGAAGTGTTCTTAAGTTCTCATTTAAATTATGTTTATTTAAATAAATTAAGATGTGATATAAGTTTGTTTAGACAAAACGCATTAACAGAGTTTAAAGCACAATGGAAACTTGATATTTGCAGGAAACCTAAGTTAAGACATTATATTTTATTCAAACAGGAGTTTTACACAGAACTGTACATCCAGTTAAATGTACCGAGAAGGCAGCGCTCTCTGTTAGCCCAGCTGAGGACCGGCACTTTGCCTCTAGCAGTGGAGGTGGGCCGCTTTAAAGCGGTTCCTGAAGAGGCCCGTCTCTGTACAGTGTGTGACCTGGGGGTGGTAGAAGATGAGCCTCATTTTGTTTTGTATTGTCCACTTTACTTTGAATATCGAAACATTTTATTTGAAAAAGTGAATGCTTCTAACCCAGAGGTTTTTTGGTGGCCTGAGGGAGAAATTATGAACTGGATGTACTGCCATGAAGTTTTTGCCTTTGCTTCTTTTGTTGCTAAAGCCTGGGAGAGGAGACAACAGATTCTGTACCCTGGATAATGCACCAAATTGTAAATCTTTTTCTGTTTTTCATGTCTGTATATGGTCTGTATATGGTCTGTAGCCATCAGATGTTGTTGTTCAGTGTCATATAAGCCCATGTGGGCTGGGCACTTTTGTGCATGACACTTAAATAAATAAACTCAAACTCAAACAAAAATAAACTCAAACTTAAGCGTAGGGTAGGTGCAATAATAACTGCTCTTTAGGCGTAGGGTAAGTGCAATATAGACTGCTCTTTAGGCGTAGGGTAGGTGCAATAAATACCAAAAACAGCATTATAAATAATAACCATATTTAGCATCTTTCCACTCGCATTGCTCCCGAGACATGTGCAACTTGTGTGTATCATAAGCAGCGACAGGCAAAACTCTCGGCAAAATGTCAATAATAATAATAATAACAATAATAACAGCGCTCGGTCCTATTTCAGAGTTTGAGTGGTTTTCCGCTGCGTTCTTCCGTGTGCCATAACTGCCCATTACTCTGCACTCAGCCACATCCATGCTGATAGTATAAGTGCTGTAAATCTCAATGTCATTACAGACGCACTGCAACTTACTCAGCGGCTACAAAAGTCGGCGTTACAAAGTGGAGCAACAACTGCAGAAGAAGTCGCTCTGGGTCCAGCGCTTATCCACCTAATACACTTTTCTTTATGGACTTTTTCATTTCACAGCCCAATAAGCCCGGACTCTGTTGTAGTGAATATGCATATGGAAATACAGAGCTGTTCTCATTACTTTTAGTTTTCTGTCTTTTTTTATCTGAAGGGATAAAGCAGCTGTTAGGGGCAGCTATTTAAGACCACAGCAATACAATCATATGGCCCGCATTAGCGGAATAGAGTTGCCGTTAACTTCATTTTGCAAGCAGCTTTTGCAAATCCTTGATATCATATGCATTTATATGAGATTTTTTTTTGTTATTAGATGAGGAAATAGACTGTCCAAGTGCAGCCAATCAAATCACGCCGATGACCAGAGCTTTATTTTTTTGCTAGTAGTTGGTATATCTATAGAAGCAGCTTTGGGTCATTGGGTAATTGTCTATGTCAGGGGTGTCCAAACTTTGTAGTAGGACGGCTACTTAGGTTCACCAGGCTTTGGGCTTTAACATTAGGTATGATCATCAACACTGCATCTACACTGGTGCCTTTTTGAATGACAATTAAAAACCAATGAGAGAATATTCAAATCAAGTGGATGGCTGAATTCTACAAGTTCAAAGCTTTACAACGAGGTGCAGCATGACTATAGTGGTGGAGATGAAGTTGGCTGGATGACTCTGTGAAAGCCCCTCAATGGATAGATTATTAGTAGTAATCTTTATTTATATACCGCCTTTTCACTGCACATCGGAGTCTCAAAGCAGTTTATAATTGTTATTTTTGGGAGTGGGGGTCGCCAGTACAGGAGGCGCATGCCAGACCTATTGTACATATTTTTAGTGGTAGGGGAAACGGAGCACCCGGAGGAAACCTACACAGACACAGGGAGAACATGCAAACTCCACTCAGAAAGGCCCTGGTCCAACCGGGATTCGAACCCCGCTTCTTGCTGAGAGGCGAGAGTGCTATCCACTCAGCCACCGTGCCGCCACATTATATTAGTGAGGCAGAGGACCACATGAAATGAAACGGTGGGCCACATTTTGGCCCGCGGGCCGTGGTTTGGACATGGCTGGTCTGTGTTATCATATGAAAAAAATCTGTGTGAAGTATATGGAAAAACATATATTAATGAATCCACTTTTCTTAAATAAATAGTTGTGTATTCTCAAAAGTATTTTTTTATAGAAACGGTCGCCTCCTGCAGTGCACTCTGGGTTTTGGATTGATCAAAAATGAACACATAAAAAAGATATTTCAGAATTGTTTAAAGTCAAGGCTACATTTCTATCACAGACATAAGTCCTTGATCCCATTCAATTGTAGGTAATAAATTGTTCTCACAACTTTTCTCTCTGTTAAAGCTTCTTTCTCTGCGCTAAAGTCATTTCACCTTTTTCACTCTTCGTTTTAAAACAGGTTCAAAAGTCGTTCCTGTTTCTTTATTAAAACATGGGTCGGCCTTCGCTGCTCGGAGAATCAAAAGCATTTATGAAGGATTAATGGAAAAACTGCCTGATTTTCTGATTGTTTTACTGGAACTCTGCCCCAAACACATGATCACAGGGACTTTATTTTAACACAAGTCGTTAAAACATGTGATTAAAACATGTAATTAAACATGTAATAACTTAGGAGCATTAGGATCAAATAAAAACATGAATCATAACTTCTCTGTTGTTGAACTGGATGCCAAAACTCATTTCATCAACCTTCCATAGACAAGAGCTTTTCAGACTCAGATAATGCTCTAACATGACTAACGCTCTGTGACAGACACGTCTCCTGTGTCCGTGTATATAATGTCAACAGATGTGCCTTTTTTCTCTGTATGTTATACTGTAAATGTACATATTCACAGATTTGTATATTCCTGAGTACTTCTGCCCAGATTATTCTACTCTCACATATATTATCTTATTATTATTCTTATTTTTAGATTGTTACTTTAATTTTTTATTTTTTATTGTTAAATACCATGCAAGCTTCTGTGACAATGTAATTTCCCTGTGGATCAATAAAGTCTAAGTCTAATGACTGTAGTATGAAATTAATATGTATTTTTTATTAAAACCCAGTGAGCATCAGGTCCTCTCTGCAGATGTTCTCCAGAGAGTTTGGTTTTGGTAAAAATGTATAAAAACCATAGACTCCTTGAAGTGGACATTTATTAACATTTCCTGTGTTCTCATGGGTCATTCTCAAATGGGTTGTTAATGAATTATACTTTGTTCTAAAGACGCTTGCTGCTGTGAGTTAGAGAAACCCAAACGAGATGATCCGGGCCGGTCCGTACCTGTCCTTGCTTGGCGTTCTCGCACACAAAGGTCTCGTAGGCGCTGCTGAGCTCTGGGGGGAACTCGTTTATGTCCAGAACGTGGACAGTGACGGCCACTCTGCTGCTCAGCACCGGGCTGTCTGCAAGAGAGGAACAGGCAGAGAGGCTTTACCACAGCGCCATCTGCTGGACAGTCAGGGAAACACAGGCTGCACAGGCAACATATAACTACAACCAGAAAACCAATTTTTACATAATCTTTTTTGGAAACATCAGGAACAAAAGTGACACATTTCAGAAAGAATGCAAAAAATAAATGTTTACATGAAATTCATACAGATAATGAATACAAGAAAGTAGAGAGGGAGGGGAGGGGCTCTGATTGGATATAATGCATTTTGTATCTGTGTCTGTCAGTGTCACTGTGTGTGTGTGTCGCCGTGTGTGTGTGTGTGTATGTGTCACCGTGTGTGTGTCACTGGAAATGTAGTTCTTGTTGTAACAGTGTGAGCACATCCATCTCTACTGTTTAATAAAAAGGTGCTTGATTCTGATGCGGTAAAAAGATATTTTAACCCAGGTTTGAAACTCAAAAAATTTAGAAAATCTCACAATTTCCCAGAAGTCACAACAGTTTATATCGTGTGTGTGTGTGTGTGTCTGTGTGTGTCTGTGTGTGTGTTCAGCTTTACGTTTTCAGACAGATGTGGTAAGAAGCTCTCGGTCCAAAAAGTGACTCTGAGGCTCTGGCCAAAGATAAAAAACATGTTCTGCTCAGATTTGTTCACAACAGACTTTTACAAAACTCTGTCACGTGATCAGTATGATTCTACTGAGATAGTGAGACAAACACTGGAAAAATCCTGTGAAAAACTAAAAGAAAGATAAATGAGAAGAAGTCAAATACTGCTTAATAAACGCAAAAAAAAATCTCTCAATGGAACAAGAAAATATGACTTGGCAAGATTTCTGAAAATAAGACGATAACACTAGCCCCAAATGACTTGATTTCAGTTCAAACACATACATTTAAAGTATTATTTCATTATTTATGCAAGAAATATTTCTGAAACAGAGAGCCGCCTGCACCAGGAGCAGAGAGCCGCCTGCACCAGGAGCAGAGAGCCGCCTGCACCAGGAGCAGAGAGCCGCCTGCACCAGGAGCAGAGAGCCGCCTGCACCAGGAGCAGAGAGCCGCCTGCACCAGGAGCAGAGAGCCGCCTGCACCAGGAGCAGAGAGCCGCCTGCACCAGGAACAGAGAGCCGCCTGCACCAGGAGCAGAGAGCCGCCTGCACCAGGAGCAGAGAGCCGCCTGCACCAGGAGCAGAGAGCCGCCTGCACCAGGAGCAGAGAGCCGTCTGCACCAGGAGCAGAGAGCCGTCTGCACCAGGAGCAGAGAGCCGCCTGCACCAGGAGCAGAGAGCCGCCTGCACCAGGAACAGAGAGCCGCCTGCACCAGGAGCAGAGAGCCGCCTGCACCAGGAGCAGAGAGCCGCCTGCACCAGGAGCAGAGAGCCGCCTGCACCAGGAGCAGAGAGCCGCCTGCACCAGGAGCAGAGAGCCGCCTGCACCAGGAACAGAGAGCCGCCTGCACCAGGAGCAGAGAGCCGCCTGCACCAGGAGCAGAGAGCCGCCTGCACCAGGAGCAGAGAGCCGTCTGCACCAGGAGCAGAGAGCCGCCTGCACCAGGAGCAGAGAGCCGCCTGCACCAGGAACAGAGAGCCGCCTGCACCAGGAGCAGAGAGCCGCCTGCACCAGGAGCAGAGAGCCGCCTGCACCAGGAGCAGAGAGCCGCCTGCACCAGGAGCAGAGAGCCGCCTGCACCAGGAGCAGAGAGCCGCCTGCACCAGGAGCAGAGAGCCGCCTGCACCAGGAACAGAGAGCCGCCTGCACCAGGAGCAGAGAGCCGCCTGCACCAGGAGCAGAGAGCCGCCTGCACCAGGAGCAGAGAGCCGTCTGCACCAGGAGCAGAGAGCCGTCTGCACCAGGAGCAGAGAGCCGCCTGCACCAGGAGCAGAGAGCCGCCTGCACCAGGAACAGAGAGCCGCCTGCACCAGGAGCAGAGAGCCGCCTGCACCAGGAGCAGAGAGCCGCCTGCACCAGGAGCAGAGAGCCGCCTGCACCAGGAGCAGAGAGCCGCCTGCACCAGGAGCAGAGAGCCGCCTGCACCAGGAGCAGAGAGCCGCCTGCACCAGGAGCAGAGAGCCGCCTGCACCAGGAGCAGAGAGCCGCCTGCACCAGGAACAGAGAGCCGCCTGCACCAGGAGCAGAGAGCCGCCTGCACCAGGAGCAGAGAGCCGCCTGCACCAGGAGCAGAGAGCCGCCTGCACCAGGAGCAGAGAGCCGCCTGCACCAGGAGCAGAGAGCCGTCTGCACCAGGAGCAGAGAGCCGTCTGCACCAGGAGCAGAGAGCCGCCTGCACCAGGAGCAGAGAGCCGCCTGCACCAGGAACAGAGAGCCGCCTGCACCAGGAGCAGAGAGCCGCCTGCACCAGGAGCAGAGAGCCGCCTGCACCAGGAGCAGAGAGCCGCCTGCACCAGGAGCAGAGAGCCGCCTGCACCAGGAGCAGAGAGCCGCCTGCACCAGGAGCAGAGAGCCGCCTGCACCAGGAGCAGAGAGCCGCCTGCACCAGGAGCAGAGAGCCGCCTGCACCAGGAACAGAGAGCCGCCTGCACCAGGAGCAGAGAGCCGCCTGCACCAGGAGCAGAGAGCCGCCTGCACCAGGAGCAGAGAGCCGTCTGCACCAGGAGCAGAGAGCCGCCTGCACCAGGAGCAGAGAGCCGCCTGCACCAGGAACAGAGAGCCGCCTGCACCAGGAGCAGAGAGCCGCCTGCACCAGGAGCAGAGAGCCGCCTGCACCAGGAGCAGAGAGCCGCCTGCACCAGGAACAGAGAGCCGCCTGCACCAGGAGCAGAGAGCCGCCTGCACCAGGAGCAGAGAGCCGCCTGCACCAGGAGCAGAGAGCCGTCTGCACCAGGAACAGAGAGCCGCCTGCACCAGGAGCAGAGAGCCGCCTGCACCAGGAGCAGAGAGCCGCCTGCACCAGGAACAGAGAGCCGCCTGCACCAGGAGCAGAGAGCCGCCTGCACCAGGAGCAGAGAGCCGCCTGCACCAGGAGCAGAGAGCCGCCTGCACAGGGCTTGTCCACAGGAAACACTGGAGACACTAAAACAGTACAATACATAGCAACATATCGATTTCGGTTCAAACAATTCTGACAATTTATTTATCTTTCAGAGACAATTCATTTGAGTTTGAGCAGCTAAGACATGGAATAACAAAACACAATAATAATAGTAATAATTTAAAAAGCATAATTATATGATACAATTACATGAGGGGTATTGAAACATTAGAGTAAAAACACCACAGCATAATACAAAATATAACAATAATAAATAATCAACAGATTTAGAATAGACATGCTCTGTTCTAAATTTAACCAATGAATAATTAAATGCCGTGTGTATTTTCTGTCTTTCTTCCGTTCACTTGAGCAGAGAAACATAACCAGACACACTTCAGACACACTCAAGGCTCTGGAAGAACGGCACGTATAGAACCCTGTGGTGTGTGTTTAAAGAAGCTTCAAACTCTGAACCCTTCGCAGCAGGTTTGAGAACGAGTCCAGCCCTGGTCCTCGGCTTTAGTCCTGGAGCCGCTGATCCCACATAAGCCTGGACTTTCACCGTCTGATGCATGTGGCTGCACTCAAACCCCTTCCATGCCGCTGGAGAACAAAGCCGAGGCTGTTTTCATCTGAATCAACACCTTCAGTCCACTGTATTATGTCGTTGGTCGAATAAGCAACAAGAATCAAGAACAATTACGTATTCTTAGGGTCGACTTTGGTCGGACTCCACTGGGGCGAGGGAGAGGACTCTCGCTACGAAGCAAGAAGGTCCTGGGTTCAAGTACCGGTCAGAACAGGGTCCTTCTGCGAGGGGTTCACGAGTTCTCCCAGTGTCTAACTAGGTTTCACCAGGCCATGTTTAAGGGTGTGTTGGTGGCTACGAGTGCGACTGTGGGAAAACAGATGGAGATTAGGGGCCAAGGGTACAATCCAGAGATGTGTGTTTTTTAACATACTCTGTCCCAAATCAACGATACATTTGTGAAATATCGAGACCGAGTCTGAACTCTGAGGACCGAGTCTGAACCCTGATTACCGAGCCTGAACCCTGAGGACCGAGTCTGAACCCCGAGGACCGAGTCTGAACCCCGAGGACCAAGCATGAACCCCGACGACCGAGCTCGAGGACCGAGCCTGAACCCCGAGAACCGAGCCAGAACCCTGAGGACCAAGTCTGAACCCCGAGGACCAAGTCTGAACCCCGAGGAACGAGTCTGAACCGTGAGGACCAAGTCTGAACCCTGAGGAATGAGTCTGAACCCTGAAGACCGAGCCTGAACCCTGAGGACCAAGTCTGAACCCCGAGGACCAAGTCTGAACCCCGAGGATCGAGTCTGAACCCTGAGGACCAAGTCTGAACCCTGAGGACCGAGTCTGAACCCCGAGGATTGAGTCTGAACCCCGAGGACCGAGCCTGAACCCTGAGGACCAAGTCTGAACCCCGAGGACCAAGCATGAACCCCGACAACCGAGCTCGAGGACCGAGCCTGAACCCCGAGGACCGAGCCAGAACCCTAAGGACCAAGTTTGAACCCAGAGGACAGAGTCTGAACCCCGAGGACCGAGTCTGAACCCCGAGGACTGAGCCAGAACCCTGAGGACCAAGTTTGAACCCCGAGGACAGAGTCTGAACCCTGAGGACCAAGTTTGAACCCCGAGGACAGAGTCTGAACCCCGAGGACCGAGTCTGAACCCCGAGGACCGAGTCTGAACCCTGAGGACCGAGTCTGAACCCCGAGGACTGAGCCAGAACCCTGAGGACCAAGTCTGAACCCCGAGGACCGAGTCTGAACCCCGATGACCGAGCCTGAATTCTGAGGACCGAGTCTGAATTCTGAGGACCGAGTCTGAACCCCGATGACCGAGCCTGAATTCTGAGGACCAAGTCTGAATTCTGAGGACCGAGTCTGAACCCCGAGGACCGAGTCTGAACCCCGACAACCGAGTCTGAACCCTGAGGACCGAGCCTGAACCCCGAGGACCGAGTCTGAACCCCGAGGAACGAGTCTGAACCCTGAGGACCAAGTCTGAACCCTGAGGACCGAGTCTGAACCCCGACAACCGAGTCTGAACCCTAAGGACCAAGTCTGAACCCCGAAGACCGAGCCTGAACCCCGAGGACCGAGTCTGAACCCCGAGGAACGAGTCTGAACCCCGACGACCGAGTCTGAACCCCGAGGACCGAGTCTGAACCCCGAGGACCGAGTCTAGACCCCGAGGACCTTTTTTGTGTTCCTATCCATATATATTTATTTTTCTTTTGACGAATGGCTGTGGATGTGGATGGATGAGTTTTTATCAGTGCATTTCCTGTGTTTGAACTGTTTTATTCTCTGAGCTGCGTTGGCGAATTCAACGGTTTCGTAAAGTTCTGCAAAACAAATCCTAAAAAGTTCAAAACTACCTACGCTCAACTGTTTTATCTTACCTTTTTAATTTGTCTTCCCTATAAGCCTGTCTGAGAATCCACAAAAAGCTAAGTATGGAAATGAATATGTAAGTGCTAAAGAGGTGTCAGGGACTGTGATAACGATTTATATTTTATTATTTAACTTAATGCAGGATTATTTTTAGGCTGAATTTCATGGCAGTAATTATAACTTATAACGGCACATCCTGGTGTCAGACGGGAAGCTGCTCATAGTCATTATGACTTGACAGAGAGTGAATCTGTAGAAGAGCATTCTCAAAGTATCAACGTCTCACAATCATCCAGATACACCCTCACGTCTCACAATCATCCAGATACACCCTCACGTCTCACAATCATCCAGATACACCCTCACGTCTCACAATCATCCAGATACACCCTCACGTCTCACAATCATCCAGATACACCCTCACGTCTCACAATCATCCAGATACACCCTCACGTCTCACAATCATCCAGATACACCCTCACGTCTCACAATCATCCAGATACACCCTCACGTCTCACAATCATCCAGATACACCCTCACGTCTCACAATCATCCAGATACACCCTCACGTCTCACAATCATCCAGATACACCCTCACGTCTCACAATCATCCAGATACACCCTCACGTCTCACAATCATCCAGATACACCCTCACGTCTCACAATCATCCAGATACACCCTCACGTCTCACAATCATCCAGATACACCCTCACGTCTCACAATCATCCAGATACACCCTCTGAGATCTTAAGTGAACCGTAATGAGCAGGAGCGATACAAACTCAAAGGCGTTGTTGTGACGGAGATACAAATACAACACAATGGAGCTGCTAATGCACCTTTTCAAGCCTATGACTGGTCTGTACTTCTCCTGTGTCTAAACTCTGTCCGTAGATTCTCACTCACCAACTCCACAAACACATTTTAGTTTCCCTCAAATCACAGATCATTAAAGAAGAAGGTCCTTTCTTCGTCCCACAGCGAGGGAGTTTCAGTTTGATGAATACACACATCAAGGCAGGCTGCGAACATACAGTGGGGTTAAGTGTCTTGCCCAAGGACACAACAGCAGCAGTCACCAGGGGAGTTGGTGAGGAAGGTCTCGTGGTGGGCTCGAACCCACAACCATCAGGCTCAAAGGCCAATGCTATATCTATCCACGCTGGGACACTATTCCATATTCACGAGAAAAAACAATATTCAGCATGTTTCAATAAGAATGTTTTTATTTTTTCATTAAATTTAACTAATGAAACAGTTTGGAAAACTATAATTAATTCATCCTATCAATTAATTAATCTATAGACTCACCAGTTTACCAGAAGATTAATCTTTAGATAATCCTTAACAGAAAAACAGAGGTGGCCACTTTTCCTCCAACAATCAGTTCTCAGCCCAAAGTGTTCAATACTGACTCATGGGACTCTTTCCAACGACAGCATCATGGTCTGGTTTGTTCACAACAGGTGCGGCGAGCTCTGTACTTATTTCTATTCCAAACATATTAGCTGATATATCTCAGTGTGGGCGGGGCCTAAACATATCCCTGGAAAAACAACCTGAACTATTACTGTAGGTTTTCAAAGCTGTGAGACTGTGCCCATGGATCGTGCCCGTGGACTGTGCCCGTGGATCGTGCCCGTGGACCGTGCCCGTGGATCGTGCCCGTGGACCGTGCCCGTGGACCGTGCCGTGGATCGTGCCCTTGGGCCGTGCCCTTGGATCGTGCTCGTGGACTGTGCCCATGGACTGTGCCCTTGGGCCGTGCCCTTGGACCGTGCTCGTGGACTGTGCCCATGGACTGTGCCCTTGGGCCGTGCCCTTGGACCGTGCTCGTGGACTGTGCCCATGGACTGTGCCCTTGGGCCGTGCCCTTGGACCGTGCTCGTGGACTGTGCCCATGGACTGTGCCCTTGGGCCGTGCCCTTGGACCGTGCTCGTGGACTGTGCCCATGGACTGTGCCCTTGGGCCGTGCCCTTGGACCGTGCCCATGGACTGTGCCCATAGACTGTGCCCTTGGGCCGTGCCCATGGACTGTGCCCATAGACCTTGCTCGTGGACCGTGCCCATGGACCGTGCCCTTGGGCCGTGCCCTTGGACCGTGCCCATAGACCGTGCCCATGGACCGTGCCCATGGACCGTGCCCTTGGACCGTGCCCATAGACCGTGCCCATGGACCGTGCCCATGGACCGTGCCCTTGGACCGTGCCCATAGACCGTGCCCTTGGGCCGTGCCCTTGGACCGTGCCCATAGACCGTGCCCTTGGACCGTGCCCATGGACCGAGCCCATGAACCGAGCCCATGGACCGTGCCCTTGGATTGTGCCCGTGGATTTGCGGTTCGTCCGGGGCTCATGTGGAGGTGGGAAGTTCCCCGGATCCCCCTGGTTCCTCTGGGACCGGATCAGGCCTGACCTGTGTGCGACCTTCACTGAAAAGCACCTCCAATCTCCCGCATCACAGATTTGCACCGATTCATGGTTCTCAGCAAAAAAATACAAATGATTCTGTAGTTTTCTCTGTGTGGATTTAAGTCATTTTTCTAACTCATCATACAAGTTTCAGGAGGAATGTTATCGTCAACATAGATTGGATTCACCGCGCACACACACACACACACACACACACACACTTGGGACAGTGCATGGTAATGAACACACACTCACTATTGTAGCCATGGGCCGTAATCCCACATTCACACTCACAAACACACACTCATTCAACCTGAACTATTTTACATATTTCTAGTGGTAGGGGAAACCTGAGCAGGCAGAGTAAACCTATGCAGACACAGGGAGAACATGCAAACTCCACTCAGAAAGGCTCTGTTCCGACCGGGATTTGAAGCGCTATATTCATAATAATCAACTTAATCAAAAGGTGTTCTACTTTGATGAAGCCAGCATGATAAGGTCTGATTCGTTCACAACATTTGACATTTACAAGACTCTTAGTGTTGGGACATACATGTGCAAAATGTAAGGCAAGGCAAGTTTATTTATATAGCACAATTCATACACAAGGCAACTCAAAGTGCTGAACAAGATAAGACATTAAAATCATAAATAATCTCAGAACATTAAAGAGAAAGATAAAAATATAAAATCCCTCAGTTGTAGCACAGCTAAACAGAACTGTCTTTAACCTGGTTTTAAACATTGTCAGAGAGGAGGCCTGTCTCACATCTTCAGGAAGACTGTTCCAGATTTTAGCAGCATGAATCTGAAAAGCAGCCTCCCCATGTTTAGTTCTGACTCTGGGCACTAACAGGAGTCCAGTCCCTGTGCTCCTCAGAGTCCCAGCAGGAGTCCAGTCCCTGTGCTCCTCAGAGTCCCAGCAGGAGTCCAGTCCCTGTGCTCCTCAGAGTCCCAGCAGGAGTCCAGTCCCTGTGCTCCTCAGAGTCCCAGCAGGAGACCAGTCCCTGTGCTCCTCAGAGTCCCAGCAGGAGGCCAGTCCCTGTGCTCCTCAGAGTCCCAGCAGGAGGCCAGTCCCTGTGCTCCTCAGAGTCCCAGCAGGAGGCCAGTCCCTGTGCTCCTCAGAGTCCCAGCAGGAGTCCAGTCCCTGTGCTCCTCAGAGTCCCAGCAGGAGTCCAGTCCCTGTGCTCCTTAGAGACCCAGCAGGAGTCCAGTCCCTGTGCTCCTCAAAGTCCGGGCTGGTTCATATGGGACTAACATGTCAATAATATATGTTGGTGCGAGGCCATGGAGAGACTTGTAAAAACCAGAGCAGTTTAAAATGTCTGATCATATAGACAAAAATATGTCTAATGTTACCAACCCCAGCTTTAATGCAGGTTCTGTATATTATTATGTGCCTAAATACAATATACATACAATACAGGATTATTCACTGTTCATACGCAGTACACCATCTCGTCCACCAGAGGGAGCAGTGGCTTTACAGTTGCACTAACAGCGACCTCAGCTTTCCCCTTTATAACACATGCTCTGTCTATTTCATTGACTCTGAACAGGAGCTGCCGATTTACCCATGTCCCATAATACTCTTTTGGCCTGCAACAACCATTTTTACTGTATATGACTTTTGATTTTACAGCTGTTAATAAAATAAATCTGAGTTTGCATCTCTGCACGCACTCAAGCGCAAGTCAATGAAAAATATCAGCCATTAAAAGCTGCTTTACAAATCCCATAGAAACACGATCCATTAGCGTTAAATGGCTTCTTCTTTTTTGCATATCCGCAGCTTATGTCGTAAACTTTGAATTAAATGATGTCCCCTCCTTTCGTTTTTGACTCTTACAAATTGCCAGTGGATATGAGAACGCGTTTTTAAGCCAAGTCATATTTAGCTTTGCCTTCTGCCATGAGCAATGTCGTCTCTGGGGAGGCCATTCGCTGTTGCTGCATGACTGCGGAGAGTAGCAATGACCCAAAAGCACCTCAGAAGTGCAAAAAAAAAGAGAAAATGTGGATAGATGTTTTATTGTTGAGAATGTGCTGGATGCTCTGAGAGAAATAAGAGACACTGTGACATGTGCATACTTGAGAAAACAACGAACAAGGCCAAATGATAGTGCTTGAAATAACGCTGTGTTCATTGTGGCCTTAAACAGGCATTAATGTTTCAGAATGACATATTATTAAAGCCGGGGTACCTAACTTTGAAACCTCATGAAACCTCTGTCACATCTTTAGAACAGCCGAACAAATGTATTTATAAAACAATAAGAAAGTATGTTCAGGGGGCGTGTCTTTGTCATTATTACGGTATTACACACGTCAGAAAGTCTTTGTTTGGACTCAAGTGGATTTCTCTGGCTGTAAACTCCATTCCCACTTGGCTCCGAGAGCACATCTCCAAAGTGTATCCAATCCACTCCTCTATCCCACATCAGCAGAGGGCAGAGGCGGCGCTGACCTCCGCTGATGGGCCCAAAACTAAAGGTCACGCGGTTTATCTCTGCCACGACTCTGCAGTCATCTCTCTGCAGAAAAGTGGAGTCAGGGTCTGAGGGCGAGATCTGCAGTCACAATACACTCCGCTGATAGACTCTGTGGATCCACGTGCAGCAGGAGGATCGGTTGTATCGGACAAAATAAGGACCAGATGTGCATTAGCCTGGTCTTACCATACCACCGTACTAATTAAATTTCATATTAAGGTCTGGATTTGCTTATGGACCAGAGTTTACACATGGTAAGACCAGACGTACATGTAGGAAATGATACTGAAGGCTAATGAAGGCTAAAGCTAGGTGTGCATGTATTTTAATCTTTATTTTGACAGTTTGTCGGTTAAAATGAGTTGTTTGTTTTTAAATCCTTTGCATTTGGTTTGTAAGTCCGTAATTCATCTTTATTTATGAATTCTACTGGACATGTTGCATCATGTATGAGATTTTCTCTTTTCCTACAGAGACAGTATATTGTGTTTGGATTTAATTAAGTAGAACATTGTTGGTTTGCAGCTGATGTCACGCACGGGCACGGAAGTCTGTCTGCCCTTTAAGACCTTCCTCTGTGGCGTGTGCAGATGTGGCAACCGCTCGAATAGAGTAGAGAACTTATGGAGTCTCTATTTTGCTAAAATATATTTCTCTGGTGTCATTTTTTTAGGACCTTGACAATATAGAGTCATATTTACTTGCCTCAAACGTTTTTAAAATTATTATTCATGCCCTATTAATTATATTATTAATCAGAACCTCCATTCTCTCTTGCACCGCCATCGAGTAAGTAAGTAATCTTTATTTATATAGCGCCTTTCACAGACCAGAGTCACAAAGTGGTTTACAATTGTTATTTTGGGCACTTGTCTCTCACTCCACACAGAGATGGGAGCGGGGCCAGTACAGGAGGCACATGCCAGAACTATTGTACATATTTTTAGTGGTAGGGGAAACCGGAGTACCCGGAGGAAACCTACGCACACACGGGGAGAACATGCAAACTCCACTCAGAAAGGCCCTGGTCCCACCGGGATTCGAACCCAGGACCTTCTTGCTGAGAGGCGAGAGTGCTATCCACTCAGCCACCGTGCCGCCCAGTACAGACGTGTCTCTGAGTCTCTCCTGCCCTGAGTGTTTGCACTATCTTGTTTATTGTCCTTGAAAAGCCATGAAAAGCCTGTTTCCGTATCTCCCTGATAGTTGAATTGATAGTAGAAAAATACTTTCCTCTTCCATTAGATAATAAAAGAAGCCACACCCCCTTTGGACCACATCATTGCAACCCAGAAATTTGTAATGGCTCCAAAGTTACTGCTCCTGACCATGGATTATAATAACTGGATATTAATAGCTTTGAGCTGAAGAACCCATGTGCTCGGGGGATTCTCGTGGTACTGCAGACTAAATTTACACGGGCTACCCAGAAATTTGTAATGGCTTCAAAGTTACTGCTCCTGCTTGAATTCTGAGCCCTCAACTTTAACTGTTTCGAGAGCGACAGACTCGATTTTGTGGAGTCAAAAACCATGCATCGCAGGTTTGAGCTAAAACATATCTATACAACCAGTTGACATACTGTATCGCCAATTGGAAGAAAGAAAAGCACATGTTAAACTCCTGTAGTCGGAACATCTGCTCTTTTATCAGTCAAACTTACTCTGAAATACTTTCCGTGGATCCATCTCCCCTCTGCTCCATCCGGCCCCCTCAGTTTTACACTTTTACATAACCGCCGCACAAAGAAATCCTTGAACACACGAATCTGCATTGAGACCTGAATTTCCGTGTCGCTGACGTGACCTTGGAGCGGACGTGAGTCATATCCGTTTCCAAGGCGACTGAATGAGCTTCCATCTCTTTTCCCCTAATGAACATACAGTGGTGCTCGGGGTAATTTTGATGGAGCACCGGCCTCACACTGGAGAACCGCGAGCTTGTGCACAGACGGTCCGCTTTGGATGACTTGATGACGATGGATTCACTTTTTTATCCGGAAAACGGCGCTCTTTCGACGCACGAAAACATAATCAACAAATTGACAGCTCTTAAAAGACACAGAGCCTGGATGGAAAAGTGCAGAGGTATCGCGCCAAGATGTATTGTTTAAAGAACACAAAGGCAGCAGTCGTGTTCATTTTAGTAAGTTAGTAAATAAGAAATGTTTTTTTATATAGTGCGTTTTCCAGACCGAGGTCCGATATTTTTCCATTCTCTCCACACTCGGGGTGGACGAAAGCGAGTCGCCGAACACACTGGAGCATCAAAGCCTCAACCAACACCATTCATTACATTCAGACCTACTGTACATGTTTTTAGTGGTAGGGGAAACCGAAGCACCTGGAGGAAACCTACGCAGACACAGGGAGAAAATGTAAACTCCACCCAGAAAGGACCAGTTCTGATCGGGATTTGAACCCAGGACCTTCTTACTGATAAGCAAGAGTTCTGTACGCTCACCTATAGTGCCACCCAATTGACCAACAACTCCAAGCCCTTACATATCTCTCTTATTTACAGTCAAATCCAACATTCTGGGATGAATGAGACCAGTTGGAACTCAAAACTCTGTGAAATTTAGCCAGAAAATGTCACAGGGAAAATACATAGCTATGGTTTTCATTTTGGTTTTGACAAAAATAATAAAAACGTAGAACTCAAATCCTGTTGTTTCCGAGTGGCTTTAGTTGTTGCAGTTCTAGTAAATTCACCTCAGTCCTCGTTCTACAGACAGTTTGTTTGTTGGAGCGAATCCCTCTCCCATCTGGGCCTTCCTGAGGTTTCTCGTTGGGTTTTTTTGGTTCCTTGCCGTTGCAGGACAGTGGTGACATTTATCCATATTTACTAACAATTATTGGCATTGGTTTGTTAATATTGCGGCTCTTATGTGTTATCATTATTCTTGCATATCCTGTGTTTCTGATGTGATTCTCAGATCTGCTGTTGGTGAATCGACGACTGCTGTTATGATCTAGGGCTGTACAAAAATAAATTGAATAGATTTAAATGAAGTAGGTCGGACAATAACTGTAATAATATTGAGAGCTTTTGTCTTGCCTCCATTTTGAGTTTGTCAATGGATTTACCGGGGAAGTCTATGGTCGAATATACCCCAAGATTTATAAGGATTCTCCCTGGACCCGTGTGCGTTATCACAGGTCCTGAGGCAATAAATGGCTAATACACTTTATTTTGAGCCTCAATATATCCAGTCTGTATATTACTTTTGCAATAGTGGACAGATTTTTTCCTTTTCCTTAGAAACATTGCACATGATTTAGAGGTTGGGGAGCGGGGCACCCAGAGGAGAACATGCAAACTCCACAATTATCCTTCTTGCGTCTCAATTATCCTGCTTCTTTTCTTAGCAATTGCTTTTTAATTGAATTGGTGAAGAGTCAAAACATGCTCCAGCTCGTGGCAGTAGTTTCCTCATTTACAGAAGCAACTCGAACACTGTCAAAAAGAGTTATTGTGACAGGTCTGCGGGTCTTAGAATCTCATTTTCGGGTTTTTAGCGGCGACAGTCAAAGCCAAACAGTTGTGTCCATCTACAATCTTCGAGCCAGTCACCAGCTTCACAAGAGGGGACAGTTTCTAGTTGACTGAATCACATGAATCTCTATCTTCTATAAAAAATAAAGAATGTCTAAAGTTTGTTGGAGTGAATGAGGCCAAAACTACAGAGCCTCAGCCTCACAGAGAGTCCAGGCATTTGTTGGTACCGATTATTGTCTACCTATTCATCCAGCCATTTTTAGAGTAAATAAACAGCATAAGGCAGCCTATGGGGTTAAACATAATTAAATAAGCATGATTAATGGAACAAGGCTGCCATGAAAATATCATCTTGTTTGCAAAGTGGGAAAAACTCCACTTCTCCACTGAGTATATATTTAACATGTGTGATCTAACTGACAAGTGAAAGACATGATTAAAATCCAGTTGAAGGCAAAACTAGAAGTGTTATTGTCATGTTGTACTTTGATAGTATACGATTGCGACAGAAGCAGTGGGAGGATGTGTTAGTGCCGGTCGTGGTTATTAAAATATATTTTTAAACGTGTCATGTCTCAGACCTAAAGTGTTACTGCGACAAGTGTGTACGCAACTCTCTCAACTTTCAAACCACACAATAGAGCAAATGCAATAATACTGATTTAGTTTCTTACTCTTATTCAGTTTGGTTCTTTCACCAGTTGCATGTGTTTTCTGGTCTCCGTCATATCTTTAGATCAGCCTTTTTGTGCAGAGAAGTGACGCAGCCAATCAGGTCTCAGCCCCAAGCATCAGATAGTGGCTCACAGGGCTCTTACTTGACAGTATGCAAAAGATTAGTCTTCAACAACAACAAAAAACACTGTATTCAATTAAATACAGTTTTCTACAATTCAAAATCACATCAGCAGTCGTGGGAGAGGACTTTACAAAGATTCACCAACAACAGATCCAGGACTGAGGCTGTAGATCCAGGACTGAGGCTGTAGAACCAGGACTGAGGCTGTAGATCCAGGACTGAGGCTGTAGATCCAGGACTGAGGCTGTAGATCCAGGACTGAGGCTGTAGACCCAGGACTGAGGCTGTAGATCCAGGACTGAGGCTGTAGACCCAGGACTGAGGCTGTAGACCCAGGACTGAGGCTGTAGATCCAGGACTGAGGCTTTAGATCCAGGAGTGAGGTTTTAGATCCAGGACTGAGGCTGTAGACCCAGGACTGAGGCTGTAAACCCAGGACTGAGGCTGTAGACCCAGGACTGAGGCTGTAGACCCAGGACTGAGGCTGTAGATCCAGGACTGAGGCTGTAGACCCAGGACTGAGGCTGTAGACCCAGGACTGAGGCTGTAGACCCAGGACTGAGGCTGTAGATCCAGGACTGAGGCTGTAGACCCAGGACTGAGGCTGTAGATCCAGGACTGAGGCTGTAGATCCAGGACTGAGGCTGTAGACCCAGGACTGAGGCTGTAGATCCAGGACTGAGGCTGTAGATCCAGGACTGAGGCTGTAGACCCAGGACTGAGGCTGTAGATCCAGGACTGAGGCTGTAGATCCAGGACTGAGGCTGTAGACCCAGGACTGAGGCTGTAGATCCAGGACTGAGGCTTTAGATCCAGGAGTGAGGTTTTAGATCCAGGACTGAGGCTGTAGACCCAGGACTGAGGCTGTAAACCCAGGACTGAGGCTGTAGACCCAGGACTGAGGCTGTAGACCCAGGACTGAGGCTGTAGACCCAGGACTGAGGCTGTAGACCCAGGACTGAGGCTGTAGACCCAGGACTGAGGCTGTAGATCCAGGACTGAGGCTGTAGACCCAGGACTGAGGCTGTAGATCCAGGACTGAGGCTGTAGACCCAGGACTGAGGCTGTAGACCCAGGACTCAGACTGTAGAACAAGGACTGAGGCTGTGTTTTGCAGAACTAAAGAGATTGTGTGTTCTGATTCGTTCAGAACATTTTACTTTGGAGAGACAAACAAAATGGGAAACAGTGATGTCCTTTCATTACTTTCCTAAACTGAAATCAGAACCAATGTGATGAAAGAAATTGCTAGAAACCTTTTGAAACTTAATCTCTTGCACCTCGCAGTGAAAACAGTCTGGATCTTTTCTATCTGAGTGGGTAAAAGTTTCCTGTGGCTGGAGGAAGGGTCTGAGGCACTGCTTTTAAAAAAGGCTGTTAAAAACACAAACAGACCAGCGGCACAGCGGCTATATGAGACTGTCCTGAAGATAGCTCCTTCTCCAGACGCCGCTTTATCGTCACCATAAACTTTACACCAAACACTAGTGCTGAGGAAAAGACAAAAGGAAGAGACCAAAAGACACTGCAAAAAATGTTCACGAAGCAGTAGTTTTATAGTTGTTCCAGATCTTTCATCACTGCAGATTTAAGCTTCCTTAGTGTGTGTTAATGCTGATTTTAAACTGGGACATAATCACACACACAAACAGACATCCATCCATCCATCCATCCATTTTCTTCCCTTTAATCCATTTCTGGGTCAGGGTCTCATAGCACCAGCCCCTCACTGACCCTCTGCAGGTGGTGAGTCCACAGGAGGACGGCTGCTCTCTGAGTGTGAGCATAGCCTTGATCTTTCAGTGGGGGCTTTGGGCAAAGTGGGGTTAAGTGTCTTGCCCAAGGCCACAACGACAGCGGTCATCAGTGGGAGTCGGTGGAGAAGGTGTAGAGGTGGGAATTGAACCCACGACCTTCAGGCCTGAAGGCCAATGCTCTACCAACTGAGCTACTGTCGACAAACAGACATATTTCAGGCATTCTTTTACTTGTTGCCCAGTCCGAGGAGAGAATGTCTTGACGGAGGCAGAGTTCATGAGCTCGGGCTGCTTCAGGACAGATCTGACCTCGGGAAAGACTGAAACTTCCTTTTGGTCAATAAGACACACCTTCATATGCAGATAGGAATGGAATAACCAACCGGACAAAGGACAATGACAAAGACCTTTCTTATCAACGTGTAAATAGTACAAGGCCCATGCTTCCTCCTGGTAAAATGGATCAACAAACAAACCCCCTTCGCCCGGACTGGCTGGAGCCAAAGGCGAATTATACAACCATCATTTTAGCCAAATACATGACGTGGACATTATATACTAGTAAGAGTTTTAATGGATCTTAGAATAAAGTTATTGTTAATTTATCTTGTGTTGCATGCTCCTCATTCCTACTCTCTTATTCTCCTAATAAAATACATTTGTGACTTAAACGTTTTGCCGTTTCATGTTTTTTGATGTTGAAGTAGAACAATTAGATGTATCTGTATCAAGCATAAGGAAAGGATCTCAAAACATAATTTCTGGCTTCGACTGTACACAGGTTATTTGTATTGTTATTTTTTGTCAACATCAAACATTGCACGGAACAATTGAAGACTTGCTGGTGTAAAGAAAGATAAGTGAGCAAACTAGACAATACTTTTGTTTTAAAAGAGTGAGCACCATTCTTTACATGATGCAATATGTGTAGCAGCGTACCAGGTTTGAGAAAGGAGCATTTCGACCAAAGGTATTGGATCAAGTCACAAAGTCATAAAATCTCGGCTCATTAACTCAACAATAACTAAATCTAGTCCAAACTACTGAGAATGCGTTTCTCTGTAAATCATTGTTAAATACATTTGTGGTGAATTATTATTTCATCCAGGAGACCCATTTTTCATTATAAATTACATCTACAACAGAAATAATAATAATTAAGTTATTATAAATTCAAAATATCTAGTTTGGGTTGCCAGTTTGGTGAGAAAATCTGATTGAGTGGCATTGACTTTAACGACAACACCACTTATTTGTGATCATGACACAAAAACTGCATATACAGTATGAGTCTCATGTAGCTAACTGTGCAACACGCTAAAGGCAACATGCTGAAGGCAACCTGCTAAAGGCAACCTGCTGAAGGCAACCTGCTGAAGGCAACAAAAAAAGTCTTTTCAGGACATATTATGTACAATAAAAAAGTGGCAATTAAAGAAACAGTGGCAATAGTAGTGCAGGTTTTTAGTCCTACTATATATATTATTTTAAATTCAGACAGCTCTGTCAATGTTGGACCTAATACAAATCTCAGAAAAGCCTGAATCCAGACATTTTACAGTTTTACAACATGTGTCATCACTTTCTGGACAAGTCTGGTGAACTAAAGTGACCCTGTGTGTGTGTGTGTGTGTGTGTGTGTGTGTGTGTGTGTGTGTGTGTGTGTGTGTGTGTGTGTTGAGGCGGGGGTGTCAAGAGGAAGGATCTGGCGCCCTGGAAATGTTTTTGATCCGTGTGAAATTGACTTACTGAGTTTGGTTGCCACTACAGAGATGTTGTGCTGGGCGATGTTTTCTCGGTCCAGAAGTTCATTGGTTGAGATTGTCCCTTCCACCGGATCGATGTCGAAGTAACTATCCAAGTCGCTCTTCCAGTCGATCGAATACCTGCGAGAAAGAGAGAGAAAAAAAAACATATTTGTTCCATGTCGGCCATTTTAAACCCCCGCCAAACAAATTAACTTGTCTAATTTCCCCCGCCGGTTCCATGTATATGATTTAGACCTGATACAACATCGACGCAGGCTTCATTAGTCATTGTGAATGGTCATTTCGGGGGAATTTGCCGAGCGCTGCATATATATTCCAATCTAGTAATGGGGTCTGTGTACTTCGCTGACTACACACTTTTCTTGGGGACGTAAATGAATTTTGGGAACTCTTTGGAGGCGTATCAATCTCTCAGAGCTGTCCGTCTAACGCACAGGACGCGAGTGTTCTAGTAAGTACTTTTCTATGTTTGCTCCACGCAGAGATGGGTTGCTACAGTATACAGGAGACGCATCGGTGCATGTTTTTAGTGGTAAGGGAAACTGAAGCACCCAGAGGAAACTTACACGGACATGGGGAGAACATGCAAGCTCCATACAGAAAGGCCTGGAGGTGGAATTGAACCTAGGACAGCAAGAAGTAAGTAAGTAAGTAATCTTTATTTATATACCGCCTTTCACTGACCAGAGTCACAAAGCGGTTTACTATTGTTATTTTTGGGCACTTGTCTCTCACTCCACACAGAGATGGGAGCGGGGTCGCCGAACAGGAGGCGCATGCCAGAACTATTGTACATATTTTTAGTGGTAGGGGAAACCGGAGCACCCGGAGGGAACCTACGCAAACACGGGGAGAACATGCAAACTCCACTCAGAAAGGCCCTGGTCCGACCGGGATTTGAACCCAGGACCAGTGCTATCCACTCAGCCACCGTGCCGCCCAGAAGGTGCTTCTGTGACTACTACTACAAGTCAACATAACCTTGATTTTTCAAAAGTCAAGACAAAAACCTATTTCAACAGAAATGTGTGAAAGTGACAGATTTGTTAAAACCGGATGGACCCCGGAATATGTTTAATTTTGTATTTACTTTCCAGCATTGATGATACACTGTTAAAAAGGCCATGTTATAATTATGTTTGGGGTTATTATTGTGTGTACGTTTTTTTTTTTCTGTCATAAACATGGAAATACAAAAAAGTGGTGTAAGATGAGACAGTTGTATCATTCGTTGTATTATTCCCGACTTTAAACACCAACTTATCAATTCTTAAAAAAGTAATTACGAAAATAAAACAGTAATGGTCTAATTGTGTAGCCACATGCCCTGGGATACAACCACACACCCCTTTCACACATACACACACACAGGTGAGGTGTCTTGCTCAAGGACTATTGAGTTACAAATGTGATAACTCTGCTTTCTATTGTTTAAACTTGTTACATACTGACAGTAACAAGTGTGATACTTTAGTAATCAGCACTCGCTCACTAGGACCAGAACAAAACCAGTCCAGGACCAGCACCTTGAAAAAAAGAGCCTTAACTGCCCTGAAAGAAACCAAAAAACTGCAATATTAACATTTTTGTCAAAGTAAAATTAATTCCTTACATTTAAAAACAAAAATAAAAAAGCTAATTTCATACATAAGTATTGACATAGATTTAAAGAGTGTTTAGATGCAGAAAAAGTCACGGTTATGAACACCACAAATGTGCACACGCAGAGTACTACACTTCCATAATTTTTACTGTGGGTTCCAGTGCTGACACAAACAGCAGGGAATACAGTTGTAAATTAGCTCCGCGGCTACAACCTGGTACAATGCATCTCTCCATTTGGCTAATATTTACTGTACACCATCCATCCATTGTCTTCCCCTTAATCCATTTCTGGGTTGGGGGGGTGGCAGTCAGAGCACCAGCCCCTCACTGATCCTCCTGCAGGTGCTGAGTCCACAGGTGCTGAGATTTTTCAGCGGGGGCTTCAGACAAAGTGGGGTAAAGAGTCTTGCCCAAGGACACAACGACAGCAGACATCAGTGGGAGTCAGGAAGTAGGTCTCATGGTGGGCTCGAACCCACGACCTCCAGGCTCTAAGGCCAATGCTCTACCAACTGAGCTACTGTCCCTATAAAAGTAAAAATCATACCATATCAAACACACCCACAATTTATCACATTTCAGCTCTTCATAAAGTGCATTAGTCCGATGAGGTAGATGCTGTGCTACATAAGAAAACATTATGATGAGGAATGAGTCGCTGCTTCTGGAGAACAGAGGGTCACCGTACGACACGCCGTTAGCTTGAATACAAAACCCAATCCTACAAAGGCATCGCAATGACAGCCTATTCATCAAGCCATACCATTTGATCTATAAAGGACACCGGCTCATCGACAACTTTGCGTTATGTCCCGGGAGATTCCTGTCCTGTCTTGCCTTTGTCTTCCTCAATCAATATTTTTGGGCCCGTCCAGCTAAAACTAACTCCTAATTTCTCCTGGGCAACAACCTTTTTGACGTTAAACCCTCCACGCGTCTCTCATTGCGAGGTTTTTTCTGATCTTAAAAGGCAAACGCTCATGAATATTTATCATACTTGTTTTTTTCTCTTTGCCAAGGAGCTGCTTCAAACTCGACTTGACTCATTCATTAGAGGAGAGAGGCCTAACATGTGCGGACCTTTAAGACTTTTACACTAATTAGCCCCCGGAACAAAGCGGCTTGACTGGAAACATCTTCAAAATCACTGTTTTTCGGTCTGATTGGGCGGCGTGTAAGCCCGGGTTGTGCGGCCATAGCCTTGAACAGAACATGGCCGTGTCAGAATATGTAAGAGCCGGTCTTCTTTGATACATATTAGAGCCAGCGTCCTTTCAAGGGTTCAGGAGATCAATGCACCGCAAATTCCCCTCAGGGCCAGATGCTGCTTTTTGTGCGATGGAACCAGCTGCTCTTGCTCCTGACGCCTGTTTAGAAGTCAGATGGACCAGAGCAGGGCTGGGGATAGCTTTACACCAAACCGGAGCTACTCCACTGGAACCAGGCTGTCTCTTCTGGATCTTCCATTAAAGATGAGGAACTTTTATATATATATGCTTGGTTAGTTCAAATGGAATAAGTCTTGTACACTTAAAATGCTGTGAATACATCATGTTCATATGGTTAAACTAGATTAAGATATATTTTATTTATGCCGCAGTGGGGAAATGTCATTAATGCATTACTGGTTACAGAGCATTAAGAATGAGGAGAACACAGCACAAATATATTAACAATAACTCTCAATTGAAATACAATAACATCTCTAACTTTAGCAAGAGTTAAGAACACACTGAAGGGTGGCAGTGGCTCAGTTGGCAGAGCCTTTGAGCCGGAAGGTTGTGGGTTTGAGTCCACAGCAAGACCTACTCCGACTCCCACTAAACATCTGCTTTTGCTGTGTCCTTGGGCAAGACATTTGAACCCACTTTGCCCATAAGGTGCGCAAAAGTAATTGTACGCTGCATGCTTTGATGTTTGTTATGTGTATTCATCAAACTGGCGCTCAGTTTGATGAATACACATAACGCATGGCGCCGTAAAGATGGCGCTGTGGCAAGAGCTCTGGTGTGTGTCTTCTGGTGCACACCAGGGTAGTCTTGCACAGTTTTTCCAATGTGGTTTTACTGCAAATGGCAAATAAATGAATCTGAATCTGAATCTGAACTGACATTTCTCCACAGTGGGACGAATAAAGGATTATCTTCTACAATCTCTGAATTTAGCAAAATAAAGAAAATACTGTATATTCTAGTGCAATAAACATATAGTTGTATGTTTACTGGTTCTATGTCGTACAATCAAAGTCCATGCAACACGTTTTTTAAGTAAAAAAACACACAGATATACAAATGCCAAGTTTATAAGTTTAACAAAATGAAACTAAACGTTGGAACTCCTTTGGCTTGTAAATAATTAGTGGCAGCACCGAGGGCCACCTTTACTGTAGGACAGAATGACAAGCACAGGACATTCTTTCAGGGGTTAACAACTAATCGGCCAAATTCCTTCCTCTCTTTTACAATACTCCTCATATTATATACGTGCTTGTGATTTAGAACGCATTGACAATTCCTTGATGTTGAGAGAACTGCAGCCATGAGCCCTAAATCTCTTTGGCTCCAGCAGCTTTGCCTGTTTCCCATAACTGTGTCTGTGGCATTTCTTTGTGATAAACAAGCTGTAATGTCCATGAAAGCCTCTCATATAAAGCAATCAATAGCAATTCAATGACTTTAAAGAGAACTGGCATGAAACAAGTGAGATATAATGCAATGTGGTCGTATATAATGGAAAGAAATACAAAAAAAAATACATCAAACACATTTCTCTTGTAATTTCTCCAACGTGGCTCCATAAGAATCGACCTCATCAACAGTTGTGTAATTGCAGCGGCACATCTAAAGAAAAGATATGAAATTTAATTACTCAGTTCAAAGCAGGAGATAACAGTGTTAATGCAGTGGGGCCATACAATACCCAGGGTAATTAATAGGCGTATAATGCAGTTTATTATGTGTAGCTTGCAAAAGGAGAAGAATGTATTTCTAAGCTAATTATTTCTTGAATTATTTATCATCTTTCCACGATTTTTTGGCTCGACAGCTCCAGTGCAAAAAGGGGACGTGGTGGGGAGAGACATTCAGTAAAGGATGGAAGTATTCCCAATGTGGAATATTGTGGGTCAGAGGTGTCCAAACCGGTCCAGAAAGGGCCGGCTGCAGGTTTTCTATCAGACCCACTTATCAAATCTTCAGGTTAAGACTGAACTCTCTTGAGGAAAAGGGGCAGAGTCTGTGCTGCTCCTGCTGGGTCTGATAGAAAACCTGCAGCCACAGCAGCCCTTTCTGGACCGGTTTGGACACCTGTAGGTAAAGCGGACGTTCAGACTGGGACACATGGTTCCCTGCTGTGCCAGGTCCTTCTACACGCCTGAGCTCCTCACATCAGCCTCATCACAACCCCACACATGTGACTTTAAAGACCTTATGCAGGGTTTGTATCATTTAGAATTGACGTTTTAATACAATTTAATATTGGATGAGAACTACTTAAGGTTTCAATTGTTTTTTTTTTTGTCTGATCGTCCCCAAATCGAGAAAAGTCCATAGCAACGTCCTTAGAAACAAAAAAAGTCATACCGGCGCTTCACTCTCAGTGACGTCACGACGGGCACCGGTGTGATCCTGAAGTACATTGTCCTCCATACTATTGCGCTTGTTTACAGTTTGCACTAAGTTGGTGGATATTCGAGATGACAAGAAGTGTTGCAATACACTGCTCACAGACGCACAATAGGCTTCAGACCAAAGGAGAAGAGGAGGCTTTGGACAGTAGAAGAAGAAGAGGAAAGAGGAAGAAGATTTTGATATCCACAAATTATTGGACAAACCCTGCCTTAGGTCTTTAATAATGCATCGGTTTTATACAGCGCTTTTTTAAATAGAACCTCTGAGTCCTCACGTCAACCTGTCGTTCGTGCAGCAACCCTCCTCCTCCCCATCACCACTTCTTCTGTGGAGGATTGTCATGATATCGGCTCGGTCTCCTTCTCCACCAGGGTTTAGGCCGCCTGGGGTTTGCAAGTAGTAAGTAGTAGTTGCAAGACTATTACATTTGATCCTGTAGACGCCATGCAGTATTTCTGCCGGGGTCTAATTGCCAAATCTTAATGAACAGTTAATGTCCAAATTGTAGTAAATACATTAGTACCGCCTCATGGTTTAACTATCTAATCAAACAGCTACAACATATGAATGTAATTACGCTAATACAGTGATTTCACAGGACATGCTTCTTCAACAGTCACTAACATTGTTCAAATTCAACATAATATTTCTTCACATCTGCCTGAACAACGCTAAAGCGGGCAACACTTATCAACACCTACCTAATGGTTTGAATCCCTGCTACTTGAATAATCATGTTTCTTGAATTGTGTACTATATGCATAGAGTAAAATGTTTATGGTAATGTTGTGTGTATAAAATGGGAGCTCAGGGAGACAGTTGTACAAATGAGGTTCTTATCAATAAGCAATGAACACTGGTCTCTATCAGGTTCTCCAGACGCGCACATTGCCATAGACGTTAATGTATTATTGATTGACTCCTCATTCACTGATGATAAGAAGGTTAGTCGATGGCCGTCACTGTAGTGGATTGTACGTGTGTTCAATTTGGCCCTTAAACATGATCTTGAGTATGTACTTTTAGTTATAGAGATACATTTGATTAATATTTAACACATGCAAAGTGTTGTCATTGCACAATAAAATATAACCTTAACATTTATGGACAGTGGTCATCCCATTCCCTGTGGACCATCCCATTCCCTATGGACCATCCCATTCCCTATGGACCATCCCATTCTCTATGGACCCTCCCATTCCCTGTGGACCATCCCATTCCCTATGGACCATCCCATTCCCTATGGACCATCCCATTCCCTATGGACCATCCCATTCCCTGTGGACCATCCCATTCCCTATGGACCATCCCATTCCCTATGGACCCTCCCATTCCCTATGGACCCTCCCATTCCCTATGGACCATCCCATTCCCTATGGACCCTCCCATTCCCTGTGGACCATCCCATACTATGTGTTTGGGATTTTTACAATTCCTGTTGTTGAAGAATGGACATCTTTATCCTACAAGACGACTGCTGTTGTCATTAAGTTTCTAAATTTATCATAAAACGAACAGTATCAAAGAAAACTCAGGAGTTTGTGAAAACCTCTCAGTTTCAAAGGCAGGAAGGAGTCTCAACTGTGCAATCACAGATCTTTGATTCCCAAACGGATCCTCGCTGTGGCAGAAAAATAAAATGGTCTTTTTCTCTGAATTTTTCGACCACAATGTTTTAGAATGTGTAACAATTCCTTGACAGCTCGTAAAAATATATATTAATATATAGGGTAAAATTGATGAATACAACACAATCCTCTGGGAATATCACAATCCTGTTTTTAAATAAATCTAAAATATTTTGAATCATGTTTTCTAAAAGGTTTTAAGAAGAAAAGAACAGAGGCATGTTGATGACCTAAAGCTGAAGTACCAAGCCTTTGTTGTTTCATGAATATAGTACGTCTTGTTTGTCCAAACAGAAAAAGGTCTTTTTAAATTACATTAGTGAAGAAATCAGAGCACATAATATATTTAACATACTGAGAGCTGATTGGCTGAGTGAACGGCAATCCTGTATTTTTACTGAAAAAGCTTTTACATGTGTGTGAAAACTAGTTGTTAGTTTGTAGATTGTGTGTAATCGGAGCTGAAGGTCAGTGGTTCAAATCCTGCTCCTGGCTTAAACATCAATGCATGCCGTGTGTCTATGGGCAAGACACTTCCTTCAGTCTTTCCCCAGAGTCTGCGTACACTGGGTGTGACGGAGTGAGGGGTTCCCTGATGTGAAGTGCTTTGAGTTCCTTGAAAATGTGTAAAATCTCTACATACAGGTGACAATATATAGATGTTTAAATTGATTTGAGTACACAATATAATCATGTCAGACTTAACAAGAAGCATTTTGACAAGAAGATTTTGGGCTGATTTGTGCCAGCAGCTTCTGACATCAGCAAGGATCATGTCTAAGCTAATTAGAATTCCAGCGTTTTCATGTATACATTTGTAGCCGCGCTAAAACTCCAAATAATCTACCTCTGTTCGTTAGAGCTGCTCCTTCATTGGAAGTTTTTAAGTCAAATCTAAAAACACATTTTTACGCTTTGGCTTTTAACACCAATTGAGTTTTACCACTTTACTTTTACATGTGTGTGTATGTATTTTATGCTGTTTTGTTTTCATTTATCTTTTGTTTCTGTTAAGCGTTTTGGGCAGCCGGTGTTGTTCACATTGACATTGACAATTGTGCATATAGATGTATAGTTTAAGACCAAAGGATTGATAAAACTATGGTAAAAGAAAAAGCTGTGGTTGTGGCCATGCTCTGACTACTATAAATAAACCGGCCTATTAGTCGCATTCTCACTGCTTTGCTTCGACCTCTGCACACTCTGCATACTATAGAACACGCAAAGTGGTTGGAAGTTTAGGAAGCCCTTTAAATTCCATTAGCTGTGCAGTATTTATGACGACCTTTTGTCTCCCTACGGCCCTTTCCAATTGTCTAAAAAACTCTAAAAGCATTCTTCTCTATGCATGACGAGTCACCGCTCCTATTGTTTTCAAGTGAGAACCGCAAAGCCGCTCTCCGATGGCGCGCAAATGAACTATGTCAGCAGCCCTCCAGATGAATTTTTAAACCAAGCCTGAATACAAAGACAAAATAGACAGAGCATAAGTAAACGGCTATTCTTGTCCAGCAAAATATGTGCCTTTCATTTGATTTTTAATTCATAGCATAGTAGCCATTGCCCACACAACAGGTACGCACGTTTCTGTTCGGACTGAAGATATTTCCACCACAAAAAGGTTTTCCTCATATATTTTTAACTTTGCACTTTCTTTTGTCTCTCCCCGGGATGGGTCTATTGTGGTATACTGATCACGTTTTATGGCCTGTGGAGGAGCACAGCAGCCAAATTGGAAAAGAAATGGCTTGCCTTGAGTATAAATCAGGAGTTGAATCGGGCATGTCAGTACTATAAAATGCAGCAGTCATCTTTAAAATGCCCTACCTGATAATTACAAGCAGGGAGCAGCAGCCCACAGCACTAAGCCTCGTGGAGCCCATTAAAAGAGTTTGACGCAGGACATGTGCGCAGGAGTGTGACAGCCACAATGCATTTTTCAGCAGAGATCCACCAATTTCCAGGCTTATTTGCAGATATCAAAGTTTTAATTAGCAGAATTGCCGATGGCTAGATTCATTCCCTCTGAGCAAAATCATGCAAGATTTTTACCCAGAAACTCAGGTTTGCTCGTCCTTACACTCAGGCAGGCGTGTCAAAATGACTCCGCCTTCAACCCGTCTCTTAAGGTAGTATTTTTTGCATGGAGTGTTCAGTGTGTCACTCCGATCAAGCGTAGCAGTGATCTAGACCAAACTGTTTTATTTTAATATTCCTCGTATTCAGGTTACAGTGGCTCAGTTGGTCGAGCTTCGGCCTTTGAGCCTGAAGGTTGTGGGTTTCGAGCCCACCCCAAGACCTTCTCCACAGACTCCCACTGATGTCGGGTGTCGTTGTGTCCTTGGGAAAGACACTTAACCTGACTCTGACTGAAGCCCCTGCTGAAAGATCAAAGCTGGTGCTCTGTGAATTAGGTGGCAGCTCTTTGCCCCTGCCCCAGAAATGGACAAAGGGCAGAGAATGGATGGATGTTTTATTTTATCTCCATTATTTTATGTTTTTCAGATGAATCAGAACAGAAAGTTTTAAGAAATCCTTTGTACCTTTGAGTCTTATAAGACTGTACAAGTACAATTCAAGACTGCCTGAGTGGAACATGTGTTAGTTTGAAACATTTGTGATTTACGTTTGTATGGATGGATGTGTTTCTGCTTCTGAGCACTTGCATTTCTCCTACAGGGAATAAAACAAAAGTATCTATCTAAATATATCTACTGTATCTCATAGCCTGTGCACCAGGATCATAGAGATTGCTAAACCACATATTTGCCCCGAATGATGAGTGTGACACAAACGGCCCCTGTGCTAGCAAACTTTACTTTTCAATGTTAGTCAATATTGGAGCCAGAGAGAAATAGGAGCAAAACTGTCCATACAGACTTTAGAAGCTAAAGGGTAATTGGCTCATGTTCAGCCTTTATCCCTTGGAACAACAAAGGTGAAAAAGCCTATAAATCCAACCGTTTCCCCAAAGGAGCTACTTTCTCAAGACAAAAATGGCAGCGCTACTTCTTTAACCCGTCGTGGTATTGCTTGTTTTTTTTTATTGATATTAGTGAGAGCGAGCTTGAGAATGGCTGTAGTCACTAACACCAGTCACATATTTGTTACCGGTGCACACAGTGAGTTTGCATTTAGAATAGCTGTGAGCATTCTGAAGCATCCGGTACATTCATGAAAACATTACTTTCTAAAACCATTGGGGAGCTACCTGGGAGGGGTGGAGAGCTACTGGTAAGAAACCCCTGCTATACATAATCACAGTTTAGCCGGCAACATTATGCTAGGCCAAACATTTGATTTGAATAATCTGAAGATATTTAGTGTTTTTCATGTTTCCAAACACCTCCTCTGTCCTTTAGAAGTTTCTAGAACAAAACTGTGTCATACATTAGACAAGTTTCCTAAAGCGTCCTGTTTATTTTATATAACGGTGATGATTTGACGGAATGAGCTGCGGAAGTTTGTTACGTATTTTCAGATCCAATCCAATCCACTTTATTTATATAGCACATTTTATAAAACAAGTTTCCAAAGTGCTGCACAGAGATAAAATCCATCCATCCATCCATTTTCTTCCCCTTAATCCATTTCTGGGTCGGGGGGGTGGCAGTCAGAGCTGCACCCAGTACAGTTAGCACCAGCCCCTCACTGATCCTCCTGCAGGTGGTGAGTCCACAGGAGCTGAGATCTTTCAGTGGGGGCTTTGGGCAAAGTAGGGTTAAGTGTCTTGCCCAAGGACACAACGACAGTAGTCATCAGTGGGAGTCGTGAAGTAGGTCTTACGGTGGGCTCGAACCCACGACCTTCAGGCCCAAAGGCCAATGCTCTACCAAATGAGCTACTGTCGCCCTAGAGATAAAATCAACACATTTAAATATGCGCAAAGTAGAAACAATACAAATTGAATAAAAACAATAAAATACCAGTAAACTATAAACATGTGATAAAAAACAATAAAATACTAGTTATCCTATTTAAAAAGAATAAATAAATAAATAAAAAAAATAAAACAAAATAAAGATAAAAATAGGATCCACATTTGATTCAGAGATTCTGTTTTTTACATAGAGTAGAAACAAAATGATACTTTCATTTAGTCAACCAATTAAATGTGAAACCAGACCAGATTTTGTTTTTCTCTAAAGTTTAATTGTTAGAGAAAAATAAACACAAACCATCACGTCCGTTACACATTTATCAAGGGTCATTACATGGTTTTTTTTTTTTGGTATTTATTTTAATGATTCCTTTTTATATCAAGTGATTTACTGATGTTGTGTTTATGTAAATCTCGTGGGATTTCATCTGCCGCTTTTTCAGACTGAGGACATTTCATTTTCTATGTCACCGGCGTCACAGTAGAATGCTCCAATCTGAGGCTCATTTGGTCGTTTAAAATGTCGCCAAAAATATACTAGTCAATATTTTCTTTTAATTTCATCCAAACAAACTCTTCAATCTGTCTGTGTTTGAAATCTTTTTTCCAATCTATGATAGTCATTTTAGTTTTTGCGTTATAACCTTTTAAAGTCCAGATACTTTGATTGACGCTTTACTGTGAACGCACTCAAATATGAATAACATCTGTGTAAAGTGCTAATCACACACATCCAATGATTCAAAAGAGAAAAATTGTTATTGACTTCTTTTTTGCCTTGTTTGCAATTGACTAAATATGCCTGACAAAGTGAGTGACTACGCCTTTGTCCTATAACTCAACAAATGGCCCATCTGTCAGAATCTGTCTGAAAAGGCAGTTCTCTCCACAGCACAACATAACCCGGCGACTCTCCCGTGCGTTAATCACCCAATTACACATTATTGGCCGCTTGTTTGCATGAGCCATTTTGATTCGTACATGAGCCCGTAATATTTTTTACCAGCTCGATGCCGTGTTTACGTCGGGGTGTTTTATTATTTACGAGTCTTGTCTTTATGAGCAAACTTTGGGTGCAGTCTCAAAACACCAGCTGTGTCTTTCTGTGCGTCAAACTTTCAGTGGATTCAAAGACACAGGGGAAAGTACCACAGAGGAGTTTACCAACAGAAGTGAGGGACTACAAACCCAAAACAACCTGCTACAGTGTGCGGGTGCTGCTCAGTCTCTCTCTCAGAGCGTGGAATAAAATGCTGGTATATATATACTGCTTACAGAGACAAAAAGGAAAAAACATAGTTTTAGTCGTCGCCATATTTTCACTGACTAAGGAGACGTGCATTACAACGTGGTTATCATGAAGCAGGCTCAGTGGCGTCTTGGTTCTTGTTTTGCGAGACGTTTAAAGATATTTATCACATTTTGGGCAGCACGGTGGCTGAGTGGATAGCACTCTCGCCTCTCAGCAAGAAGGTCCTGGGTTTGAATCCCGGTTGGACCAGGGCCTTTCTGAGTGGAGTTTGCATGTTCTCCCCGTGTCTGCGTAGGTTTCCTCCAGGTGCTCCGGTTTCCATTCATTCATTCATTTTCTTCCCCTTAATCCATTTCTGGGTCGGGGGGGTGGCAGTCAGAGCTGCACCCAGTACACAGAGCACCAGCCCCTCACTGATCCTCCTGCAGGTGGTGAGTCCACAGGAGCTGAGATCTTTCAGTGGGGGCTTTGGGCAAAGTAGGGTTAAGTGTCTTGCCCAAGGACACAACGACAGCAGTCATCAGTGGGAGTCGTTGCTCCGGTTTCCCCTACCACTAAAAACATGCACAATAGGTCTGAATGTAAATGAGAGAGTGAATGATGGTGTTGGAGCTGATGGTCCAGTGTGTTCTGGACTCGCTTCTGTCATCACCGTGTGTGGAAGGATTGGAACAATATCTGACTCTGAACATTGGAAAGAGCTTTGGGTCTGTGCCTTGGTCTGTACCTTGGTCTGTAACATGTGCTATATAAATAAACATTACTTACATATTTGCATTTGTTGTGGTTTATCAACATTCATGGACATTGGTCTTTCCGTATGGACCAAAACATGTGTGTATATTTTGTGTTTTAACTGTTGATTCTCTGATCTGTGTTGATAATTTCAATGGTTTTGTTAAGTCTCTGAGATGATGTTGTTGTCATTTTTGGCTCTACAAGAAAACAATTGTATTGTATTGTTTTAAAGTTAGATACCCCAGCTTTAACTAACTTGATGTGAAAATTGACGTGAGGACTGTTGCATTTGGTTCTGGAGTGAACTAAGCCCAATCAGGTGTGAGTGCGACCTGATATTTAAACCCAGAGACAAACAAAAAAGTCCATAGTTGTGACTTGGGGTTTTGTGGAACTCAAATGGTCCGACTTTGATTGGTTGAAATGTGTTTAAAACATCTGCATTTAACCAAAACAACTAACATGAGACACAATACATAGAAATGAACCATCTGAAAGGAGGTTGGAAGCCAGTGCTTATTGAAGGTAACCCAAAACACACAAATGAACACACCAAATATACTAAATATCTTCTTACAACCAACTGGAAACTCAAAACCAGTGGCTCTACAACAAAGGCCCAAAACACTCTCTGACCCTAAATATCATTTGATAGTTCCATACTTACAGCTGTATACATGCAGATATATAAGGCTTGTACTAGAATTACTTTATTACTTGCTTCTCATTACGCTAAAGATAAAGCTCTAAAAACTTGCTTCCTTTTGATGCTAGAGTTAGAGATTCTATTTTATCTTATTTAGTATAGAAATATTGTTCACACTGAAATTTGCCCACTGTGGGACGAATAATCTTAATCTTTCTCGGATGGTAAAGAAGAGCAAACCCAATCAGCATATTCTAAAAAGCCAAATATGAATAACAAAACAGTGACACAGAGTTGCTTTCATGGATCTTGTATTTGACTTCACAAGGAGCCTGAATGCAACGAGGGGGCGTGGCCAGAGAAGGCGTCCATGTTGGGAAGGTCGCTCACGACGCAGCAGGCGAGGGCCGAGCGGGACACCGACATGTCGCTGACGCAGGACCACAGCCCGGTCTTGAAGGTGAACTTCTCCACACAAGTGATGGTGTTGAAGCCGTCGTAGCCTCCGACCACAAACATCTCATCGTTCAACACGGCCATTCCGAAGTTACTGCGGTGGGTCAGCAGGGGGGGCCCGACACGCCAGCTGTCCGTCCTGGGGTTATAGACTTCCATTGTGTTCAGCCGGGACAAGCCATTGAAACCTCCGACCTGCAGACGGACACATATTCAAGTTGAGTTAACTCTTTTACCACTATTTAGACTATTTTTGTGATTCTGTCAGTGTAAATGACGCAAAAGCAAAGACAAATGTTTTGATATTCTGTGTACTCGATGGATTTTTTCCCAGCAGTAGAATATCCAGCCATTTGTTTTGCTGCTTTAATAAGTTAGAGATTTAATTTAATTTACAAGATACAGGCATTTATTTGCTATTTGCAGTAAAACCACATTGGAAAAACTGTGCAAGACTCCCCCAGTGTGCACCAGACAGACAGAGAAGTACACACCAGAGCTCCTGAAGTATAGGGTTGGGCTATACTTAAATTTCACTTATCTTGTGCTGTATGCTCCTTATTCTTACTGTTCTGTAACTCTGATGCAACACTGAAATTTCCCCACTGTGGGACGAATACAGGATCACTTCATCTAAATCTTTGACCAGTTTCCTTATTTTAAAGCTGGGTTGTAACGCTAATTAGCAAGATATCGCTTTGTCTGATAGTTTGAAGGCAGACAGAGAAATTCCTGATACTAATTTAAGACTTTTGTTTAGAGGGAACAGCTCTGAGCATGTCTAAAGCTGCTGTACCTACATTTCAAAACCACTGAAACTAAACCTATGTAAATAAATCCATCCTCACTAGTTTTCAAATGCACATATTTTAGCCTCTGTCACATCTTTAGATCAGCTTTTCCTGACAGAAAAGTGACCAATTAAACAGCCAATTACAATAGCTCTCAGCTCAAAGGGTCAAAAAGTGACTCACAGGGCTCTATCTTGCAATTACACACACACACACAGAATAACATGTTTTCAAGATAGAAGTAGACAGTATGTTAGGGTCTGATTTGTTCACATTGTACTTTTGCGAATACAAAGGTACATAAACATATGATATTATGATAATGTTTTGAATCCGAGCCTAAGGATTGGCTAAAGGGTATAATTTCTCATGAGGGAATCAATGAAGTATATATATATCTGTCTAAATACTCACAACATAGATCTCCCCGGCGTTTGCGACCGCGCTGAGACCGCTGCGGAAATTCGTCATGGGGGAGATCACGGACCACTGGTCGTTCTCAGGATTGTAGCTTTCAGCCGTAAACAAGGGGTCATCGCCGTCATAGCCTCCAAAAATGTAGATCTGCGAAGAGAAAGAAGACGTTATACACTTTCCAAGCTGTGCAATGAGATGAGAACAACATCTGCTCTGAACACTCAGACTCCCAAAATTCTGAAATTACTACAACTCCCAGAGCCATCTTTTTGGCTGCGCCCTTTCAAACTAATGGCATTTTAAAATATTGATAACTCACTTAAAAGTAATAAGTGTGTAAGGTTTTTCACCCTTTACTCGCTTTTAATAAGTGCTTGAAATTGAGCAAAGAATTATTCGTTGAAATGATAATGTTAAATGCTAATGATAAACAGTGTGTTTCCATGGTAACTGCTCTGGGAGTTTAAGCTATAACTCCTCTCTCCTCTTTAGGTGGATCAAAAAGGTGCGCACGTTGAGACCCGTCAAATTGACTGCTTTGGGAGTTTGAGTGTTAAGCCTGATTTTTTTGTTTTGTGTTGTCATAAAGCAACTGAACAGAAATGCTAATGTGGCTAACTCTGACGTCATATGGTTTGGTCACAGTCACTTTCATTGAGTTCTTAAAGCTAGGTTACTAAACTTTTCTGTTGTCTATGATTAATACATGTTTGTTCTCAACAGAAAAAAGGAAAAAACACAATTCAAGGCCCCTGATAGTCACTAATCAACGCCTTGAGCATAGCGCTAATTTGTTGTGTGACAGTGGTGCCCTATTATCGTAAAAAGCTGATAAAAAATACATTTATGTGAAAAATAGAGACAGAACCAAACAGTTTTAAAATCCTAGTAAGATGGATTTTAATACCTGTTCCATCTGTTGTGGTTTTGAAGATAGGTACCCCTGCTTTAAATCATCAGAAAGGCAAATGTAAACTTATCGTGTTAATTGAAAAGTGCTTTTGACAATTTTACTGAACTCCAGGTTCTTTACAAGGATTTGATTTCTGTAGTTGTTTGCTGCATACACTACATTATCGTTGTCCACGTACCTTTCCATTTAGGCCGGCAGCGCCCGCGTCGCTCCTCCGCTCGTGCATAGAGGCGATCATCGTCCACTGGTTGAACTGGGGACTGTATCTTTCCGCCGTTTTAAGCCGGCCCTCGTCATCTCTGCCTCCGATGGCGTAGATCAAACCGTCCAGATGCACAACACTGACGTAGCAGCGGCTCGAATGCATGGGGGCGGCCTCTTCCCAGGTCTGCGAGTCCAGACTGTATTTGTGCATGGTGCTAAACTTCTCCACGCCGTCAAAACCTCCGATCACGTAGACGAAGCCGTCGAGGAAGGCGACTCCGTGGTAGGCGCGCAGGGTCCGGTCCGGGTTGGCGATACGAACCCAGCGTTTTGTGTGGCTGTTGTAAACTTCAATGGCGTTTGTGGGATCGATGATGTTCCAACCGCCAATGGCCATAAGCACGGTCCGGGGCACTCTGGGCTGGATCTGGGCCCCGTTGGTGGATGAGCTGGAGGTGTAGCCATGGCTATAGTCCAGCATCTGCTTCATGGCCTGAATCAGGTAAGCATTGCATCCGCGAGATTGTTGGATGAGCTTGTTCTGCATGACATGTGTAGAAAAGTACTGCGTGTCCATGAAAGCCAGACGGATCTAAACAACACAGGAGCATGGTTAGTTTGACAGACCATTGCAAGACCTACATCATTATGAGGACCATAATTTTGTGAATATAAGCCGTCTGTTTATTTCTAGTTATTTCAATCCAACATCTTTAATAGCAATGTGGAAAATGTGTGTGATTATATTGAGATAGTTGATGTACTTTAGTTTGACGACGTACAATTTTAGTAGCTATAGGGCACTTGTTGATTGTCATTATCAAGAGATGAATGTGTAACAGCATGGAACGATTACGCTGTTCAAAACTCATCATCAAATCATGGTGTGACCATTGAAAACAGAAAACAAATGTATATATATATCTTCAGTCTATGTGTGGATAAAATTTAGTTTTAAAATACTGCTGGTGCGGCTTATATACTCTCGCCTAATAGTCCAGAAAGTACAGTGTTGGTTTTAGTGTGTCCAGTTGTGCTTATCGCTTAGCATGACAAACTATACTGTTCTAGCCATTTTAATACATCATTACTAGAATGGGGAACCTATTTTTGTTGTTTTTTTTCTGTTTGTATTCACAGAAAAATCCAAACCAGGCAAAGTGTTGTATTTGTCTGACAGTACAACACTGTGTCTTCTGCATACAGTACTTGTAAGTTAAAGCATATCAACGTGAGACTCTGTGGGCTGAGAGCTGCTCGGTGGAGAGAGTTATTGTATTCTTTGCTTTTTCATCTAACAAAAACCTGATCTCGAGCTTTGCCAAAAAAAGTTAAACATAATCAAAGATGAACCAAAGTGTTTTGAGTTTTCCATAGTTTTACATTGTCGATAATCACCGACAGAATCATGGTGGCAGTGGTTAGATGTCATTTGCATCAATTGCTTTCATCAGTTCAACAGAAATGACCAGGATCTTAAGTTTACATACACTGGCGATTTTAGACAAAAACAAATAAAAATCTTATAATTCAACACTTCGCAGGGTGTGTAAATAAGCACAACTGTATTCACCCTCTCTGTATTCCCTGCTTTTAGCCTTGCACATTTCAAACTCTCCTTAAATATTGACACACATGGAAATACTGTACTGAGTGTGTGGTGGTTACAGCATTACAAAAAGTTCAGGACTTACTTGTGGCAGGGTCTTTTCAATAAGCTCGCGGCTGTCTTGCGGCTGGTGGCTGATCCAGAGGAGGACCGCTTCGAACACTGCTTGCTCTTTGTGAACTTTCAGGACGTCGCTTTGAATGAATTGCATCAGATCTTCCAGAGAGAGCTGTAAGAAGCTGGGATGCGCCGCCACCTCCTCAAAGTGTCCCAGGATGTAGGAAAACACCCTATTTCTCATCGTGGGGTAATAGTACTTTTCCGTTAACCACCAGGTTTTGAGACAATTGTCCGGAGAAAGGGTTTCGACCATTATTCTGCAGCATTCTTCGACTAATCCATCCACACAGAAGCAATCGGCCGCGATAAACAACTCGTCAATGTTGTCCTTGGTTATTTGAACTTTCCCAGTGTAGGCGAACTGAATGAAAGCACCCATCGCTTCAGCAGAGACGATTGGGATGTCGAAAATGTTGTTGTCTGGAGTGGACCAGCTGGAGAACAACGCTCTGAGGATAAAAAGACAAGAATGTGTTTTAAAATCGTTTAATAATGTACGTGTGGGTCTGACGGTGGCATTTCTGCTGCTGGACACATGGATTTCTCCTACAGGCATCAATAAAGTATCTCTCTCTCTATATATATCTTTCTATCAATGTAAAATAAGCTGACATTACCGACGCATTGTCTAGTTTAGAGGTTATGTTCTATGCAAAGTCACTGTTGAAGACACAGCCATGGAAGGACTAACACAAGGCTCATGAATAATCTATTTTGCATTCAAAACGTTTCCAAAATGAAAGATTGTACAGGGGTAACAGTCAAAATAAGGTTTTAGAGATGATTGAATATCAGCGGGAAAGAGAATGATTGGGCCCTAGCTCCATTGTTGGGTCAGAAACTGTAGATAAATACCATAACAGTAGCAAAATACTATGGACTGGACTGAATTGTAGCATGTTTTTTTTATTTCTTATCCCAATATACAACTATAAGAAAGGTCGAGATTGCAAAAAAGTTGAAATTGAAGAACCTTTCTACGCATTAACAACGACTCTATTGCTACAAGTTCATTTGAGAAGGAAACAAAATCCTTCTCTAACTCTAAATATTCACTCTACAGTAGCATTTATCCACTTAACACAGTCCAAGGATGAGTTTTGAGTCTTCAAACAAAACCGTACTCACTTGAAGAAAGGGCTGCAGCAGCACATCATGACTTTGTGCACGTTGAATAGCGAGCCCTGCACGCGGATCACGGCGTCGCACAAAGCCTGGTTGCGACGCATCTCCTCCATCACAGAGAGCTGCTTCTGCATCTTGGATCTTGGGGTTTTGAGTTTGCTTAATTTCGCAGAGAGACGAGAAAACACGACTGGTTCGGTCGAGCAGTTGTGTGTAAATGAGGCTTTGAGCGGCTGTTTGGCCTAAGACACAATGGAACTCCACCGCTGTTCCGTTTCCGTGGAGATGCAGTTCTACGGCGGCCATTACGTCGTTAGCGATGACGTCGTTAGCGATGACGTCGTTGCTTGGAGTTTAGCCACATATTGTTTTGATTTGAAAATCCTGCATTGATTTAGATCTAATACAATGGGAAAACAAAAGAGAGATAAGAAATACCAAACAATTGTAACTAAAAAGCATCATCTGTATTTCAGTCAGAAGGTTTTCCCAACGTTCTTAATCCAAAGAACTTTAAAGACCTTATGACGGGTTTGATTTATTTAGAAATACAGTTTTAATACTATTTTATATTAGAAGAGAACTACTAAAGGTTTCAAAATCAGTTGTTGTTTTTTTTGTCTGATCCCCCCAAATCGAAATAACCCCATAGCAACGCCCTTAGAGACGAATAAACTTCACAGCCCTTGGTGACGTCAGAGTGGGTACGTTTCAACGCTGTAAGTTGTTTACAATTTGGTATTTGTTCTTTTTTCGCGGATATTCAAGATGACAAGGCCGTGTACTTGTGTCTGACATAAATACTAGATTGTAACTCTTTGTTGGCACTGAGACAATCCAGTGGTTGTGTCGATGGACTGTCAATCCATATACTTGGGTTCAAATCCCACCTTGGACTCTTTTTCACTCTCAAAACGGCAATTTATGTGTAGTGAGCAATTGTCACCTGTAGAGGGCAGTATTGTGTTGGGCATCAGTGGAGAGAAGAGAGAAAAGGCAGTCCTGTGGCATAGATCCATGGTTTTCAATGCATGGGCGTTACCCGCTGTGACGTCACACACAGGTTAGAGCATAGACAGCTTAAATTCATGAAAAACACGTTCTTTTTATAAAATATAGGATTTTTTTTGCCGGAATCTCTTTCAGATTGACATTGTCATGCAATTTTGATATCCACTATTTTTTTTTTAAAAAACCCGTCATAAGGTCTTTAATGAGATGGAAAACAGCAAAAAGTCCAAAGTGTCTCTGAAACAGTTGTTTTGTGTTTTACAATTGTTATTTTGAATGTCCTTTTTTCTGCCTGAGATGTTTCTGCAGTTCAGTGTTCATGGTTTTACACTGGTCCAGACCAGAGCAGAGAGGATTCATGGTTTTACACTGGTCCAGACCAGAGCAGAGAGGATTCATGGTTTTACACTGGTCCAGACCAGAGCAGAGAGGATTCATGGTCCGAACCAAGTGGATCAGGTGAAAATCCACTGGAGGAATGCTTACTTTTTGAAACAGGCTAATGAAGCATTTCGCATTTTCCTTTGGACCAGAGCAGAGACAATGGTCTGAACCAAGCTCCACCTTTTGACCTGTCCTGCTCCACCCAGAGGCTACTCCACCTCTGCTGCTGTGACCCGTCCTGCTCCACCCAGAGGCTACTCCACCTCTGCTGCTGTGACCCGTCCTGCTCCACCCAGAGACTGCTCCACCTCTGCTGCTGTGACCTGAAGGACTGTTGCTGATTATTTCTATTGTTAGCTTTTTAGAATTACATGTATTTATTTATTTATTTTATTTTTGCTGCTACTGAACACCTGAATTTCTCCAACGGGGATCAATAAAGTATCTATCATAAAAGAAATGCTCTTTGGTTTAAGAAAAAAAAACGGACAAAACCTGCTGAAGATGATGAGTAAACATCAATCAATCAATCAATCAATCTTTATTTATAGGGCGCTTTTCCTGCACAGGGCAACACAAAGCGCCTCACAGTCCACACCACACAATGCACAAATCATCACCATTAAAATACAATTAAAAACACATATGTAAACAACCTTCCTTTGTTTTGAATAATCCCTGTTCGACTGAGTTTACACACATTTTTAGTAAATGTATGATGTAAAATGTGTTTTAAGCAGTCGAGGCTGGAATATTATTGAGACATGAAGTCGATGGTAAATGTTTTGAAAATGTGCTAAATTAGAATATCAACTACTGAAATTATAATACGTATAACTATAAATATGTTTGACACTCTTCCTGGTGTAAACTTGTCAAAGCACAAGATATTTCCAAATGTGGGCGATTTATTGTGATTTCTCACTTCTTTCTGACACTCAAACTAATGCATGTTATTATTATTTAGTTTTTTTCCAAGACATTTGTAATGAACTCAATTGGTTTCAACATGTATTTTTAATTTTCTTGAAAATCAGATGAAACAAGAATAGTTTTGAGATTAAAGTTTAGCATTAAATCCTCAGATTTTGACTTTTATTTAGTTTTTATGTATCTATTTCTTCATAAACATTAGTTAAATCCACATCTTTAACATTTTACACAACTTTCAATTGGTTGAGAGTAAAAGATCTTCTGCTCGTTTTAATACAGTATTTATATGAGAGAAATGTGTTCTTTAAAGCGCAATTAAAGCATAAAAAAGACAAAGTAACGGATGAAGGCCTGGGAACGGATGAGCTGCAAGAAGTGTGTGTGGAAGTGTATGTGGAAGTGTATGTGGAAGTGTGTGTGGAAGTGTGTGTGGAAGTGTGTGTGGAAGTGTGTGTGGAAGTGTGTGTGGAAGTGTGTGTGGAAATGTGTGTGGAAATGTGTGTGTGGAAGTGTGTGTGGATAGAGTCTAACGATGTGGAAAATATGTGTAATTATATTTTTATATTTAGATAGTTGATCGACTTTAGCCTTTCACAGACCAGAGTCTCAAAGCGGTTTACAATTGTTATTTTTGGCATTTGTCTCTCACTCCACACAGAGATGGGAGGGGCCAGTACAGGAGGCACATGCCAGAACTATTGTACATGTTTTTAGTGGTAGGGGAAACCGGAGTACAAGGAGGAAACCTACGCAGACACGGGGAGAACATGCAAACTCCACTCAGAAAGGCCCTGGTCCGACCGGGATTCGAACCCAGGACCTTCTTGCTGAGGGGTCGAGAGTGCTATCCACTCAGCCCCAGTGCCGCTGAGCCCTTGTTTATTGTCATAATCGAGTGGTGATTGAGTACCAGCATGAAACGGTTAAGCTGTTCCAAAACTCATCACTAAATTATGTTGTGACCATTGGATGAAATGTATTTTATTTTCTTTCACATTTTTCTTTGACATTATCCACAACTTTCAATTAGAGAATAAAAGCTCTTCTGCTCGTTTTAAAATAGTATTCATATAAGAGAAGTAACGGATGGAGGCCTGGGAGCGGAGAAGCTGGAAGAAGTGTGTGTGGATAGAGTCTGGGTGTCTCTGCTTCGACTGCTGCCACCACGACACGGCAACAGATCAAGCGGAAGAAAATGGGTGGATGCAAGGTAGTTTAAAAGGCGAGTCGTTTCAACACACCAGCCTGTGTCGCTCAGTGCCACATGAAGAAGCAACCCGGGGTTTTAGATTCAAATATATGTGTTTTTGCTAAGTATGAATACGACTATAGACTTTAACTTAGGCTCCGTTGGCAGAGCGTTTGAGCCTGAAGGTCGTGGGTTCGATCCCTCTGCAAGACCCTCCCCACTGACTCCCACTGCTGTCGTTGTGTCCTTGGGCAAGACACTTTACCCCACTTTCCCTTTAAGGAGCGCAGAAGTAAAAGCACGCTGCATGCCTTGCTGTGATGTGTGTATATATGTTTATGACTATTCATCAAACTGAATTTCTCCATTGTGAGATCAACAAAGTATATCTGGCTCACTCCACACTAAACTGTACCATTGGTAGATCTAACTTCAAGAGAAAAGAATATAAACGTATGAACAAAAATGTTGTGTACTTAAACATTTTTAAATACTTTGTAGCCTATGCAGTATATACATAGTGTAATCACAGAAGGACGGCTAAAACTATTTCAAGAAAAATGGATGCCTTTCAAAAAAATGTGGGGACATATTTGTTACATTTAGGACATGTCGTGTTGGAGGCTTTGTGAATGAAAGAATGAACAGGACAGAGAAGACTATTTAATGGATAATGGTTGGAGATATAACTATAATCAATATGTAATTATAGGTTTTACATTATGCAAAGTAAAATATAATTCAATAACCGCGGACAAACTGGGCGTTTTGGACGTAACAATCGTGTCCACTTTTGTTTTACGTCCAAAACGGCGTCTTTGAGCGCTGTTAATAATACGGGCGTGAACGAATCTGTGTCTAAATAGTGCCCCCTCACTGGACAAACAAGCTGGGGACAAAACAAGAGTCCGGGAACATTCAGCGGTAACGGCCGCGGACATTTCGGGACTTTTTTGTGTCATTGACCAAAATGTAACACATTCATACAGTTGAGTGTGGAGTGAGCCATCTTCTTCTTCTTCTTAAAAGCAGACAGGAGCACATATATCTAATAACAGTATGCTGTAAAATCTCACGACAAGAGCGATTTGAACGCAAAGGAAAGGCATGGGGACATAGTAAGTAAGTAATCCTTCTTCATGCAGCACATACTGACATACTGCATGTTGTAGTAGTAGTAGTAGTAATTAATCTTTATTTATATACCGCCTTTTCACTGCACATCGGAGTCTCAAAGCGGTTTACAATTGTTATTTTTGGGAGCGGGGTCGCCGAACAGGAGGCACATGCCAGACCTATTGTACATATTTTTAGTGGTAGGGGAAACCGGAGTACCCGGAGGAAACCTACGCAGACACAGGGAGAACATGCAAACTCCACTCAGAAAGGCCCTGGTCCGGCCGGGATTCGAAACCAGGACCTTCTTGCTGAGAGGCGAGAGTGCTATCCACTCAGCCACCGTGCCGCCCAGCCAATATTTCCCTCAATACAAACGTAATCCACTGCAGACCCTGTGGTTATTGCAGAGACGCCTGCAGCTGTAGAGTATTCTCTGCAGGCCTGTTGGTCAATAGAGCAGTTCATTTAAAAAGCCAGTCGCTCTGCCATTAGCCGCAG